GGTCGCCACAGTGGAATGAACCGCCAACTTATCCAGCAGGTTTTTACGCAGCGGATGCCCTTCCAGCCGCAACCCATCTCTGGGAACATTCACACACACATTCACACATACACTACGGACAATTTTGCCTACCCAATACACCTGTACCGCATGTCTTTGGACTGTGGGGGAAACCGGAGCACCTGGAGGAAACCTACGCGAAGGCAGGGAGAACATGCAATTCCACACAGAAACGCCAACTGAGCTGAGGTTCGAACCAGTGACCCAGCAACCTTCTTGCTGTGAGGCGACAGCACTACCTACTGCGCCACTGCCTCACCTAATTTAAATTTCTGAATTTGAATTTCACAACTTAAATGTTGAACATCTGAAATTTAAGACAACTGACATTTTCAAGGCAGATTTTTTATAGACGTATTTTCAAACTTAAATATGAGTTTAATTTTACATAATTTTACATATGTAGATAAAAAAAACATTTATTTTTCCTATTTCCAGACCCCTCTAAACCACATACCCCCATAATTCAGACCCTGCATTTGTCCAAAACCCCTGACCTAATTTCTGGTGAATTTGAATTTCATGATCTGAATTTTTGCTTTTGAATTTTAGAGTATTAAATATGATTTTCTGAATTTCATCATCTTGAAAAATTGAAAATATTTTTACAAACTGGATATCTGCAGTTTATGTATTCAGAAGACAAAAAATCTAAAGTTTGAAAATGTGCCTATAAAAAATCTGCCTTGAAAAGTTGAGTTGTCTTTAATTTCAAATGTTCAATATAAGTAGTACAATTCAAATTCATATTAAGAAATTCATATTAAGAAATTCAAAACAAATTTTAGCAGCATATAAAAATTTAGATTTATTAAATTACAATTGTCAATAATTCAAAATAACACAATTCACATTCAGATTGTTTGGCATGTTATTAGCTCCATAACATAACTCAAGGGTAGTACATTTGAAGAGTGCACAAGGGATAAACAAGGAAAAGGCAAACAAGTACTCACCAATGGTAAGTTTTTCTTGTATTTGCCACTTAGACAGCGTTAATGTTATATCTTGTTGTATATTCCAAATACAATATTATCTTTGTAATTTGATCATCTTTATAAATCACATTACTATTAGCTATAACAAACACACAAGTAAAAGTTTTGTGTACTCATTTTTGACCCTTCTTTTAAAATATATATTAACAACCCAGTTTTAACATTTATTTTAAAGTCTGTGTGAAGTCAGAATTTACAATGTTTGTTTTAGCTAGCCCAGATTGTCAATCTTTAGTTGAACGATTAATCCGTGCAAATTAATCCACTAAAACAAAATGTTTGGGTAATCTACAATCAAAGTCTGACCATTTGCTTTTACGTTTGGAGAGGTGTTTTTCTCTGTTGATGTCAGTTTAACATTATACTCAGACAATATTCTTAACCATGCCCCTCTTGCCATTAGTTTTCTACGAGAGATGAAAGCTTTGCCTTCTACTACTATTCAGCTTCAGTTGGAAATATATCAACACACTAAAATTAAAGTCTCAGCAAAGTCAGGTTCCTGTAGACTTTATAGTCGGCATGAATCAGAAGTTAAGACCACTATCATTCTGAATTGAGAAAAAAAATGTAGGGATGTGCATGATTTCGACCTTTGGGAGCTGATTGGATCATTGGAAGATGAGTGTTAGATAAAAGCAAGGCAGAAACGTGTTGTTGCTAGATCAGATTTGAAATTAACCAAAGTCATTTATATTATTTATTAATTTTCCTATTGATTGTATTTTATTAACATCTACCCCAACGCTAAACTCGTCACAGTAACGTCTACCATTACCCTAATCCTAAACCCAACCAACACAGTACTGAAAAAATATTAATTATTGTTAATATCAGTGTCATAAAAAGTGCTGCTATATTGAAGTGCATATCACTATCTAGATTTTACCGAAGAGACGGGATAGGCCGCCCTAATTACATTTCATGTGACTAAAGGTGAAGAAAAATGGTTTTTAGCTGGGAGGGAAGGTTATAGTTTTCTTTTGGCAATTCAGTTTTTACGAAAAAGTTAAGTGCACAATTGCATCATTTATAACAAGCAAAACTGTATATTTTAGGTACATTTTAATTTCATTACTATATTAATCTCTGTTTATCTAGTTTAGTGTACTGTTTGCTATTCTCACTATAAATCACTTTCTCAGGCATAGTTAGAATTTATTAAGTGTGTAGGCACTGATAGCCTTGTAGTGCAACTGTGTTGAGTGCATTGAGTTACGTTCAAGTCCTGACTCGCAGATCATTCCCGATCTCATCCCCCTCATTCTCTACAACTTCACTTTTTGTTAATACCGTCTTATCATAATAAAGGCAAAAATCCCAAAATGAAAAGTGTTTCTGGTTAACTAGTGATTTACAGTTACATTTCTGTGATTTGGTTGCGCTTATCAAATCACAATTCTTTTATTATTTTACCTTTTTATTGTTGTAACAGTGCCTGAGGACATCATATGGTTTTTTGAGTTTATGAAATAGTGCTTGATGCCAGTTATATTCTAGCAATGCCTAAGGACATGATATGGTTAAGCGAGGATTAATTTGTTGTTTCAAACACCTAAATTAACACTTGCCATACTCTAAATGCAAGTAAAAATCACACAGAATATGAAATACTGTAGTCTTGCTGCAATTGTAAGTGTTATTTTATTAATTGTATTAAATCTATTTGTACAAGTTATAGTTTCAGTTATGGTTAGAATGTGGGATATTACAGTTCAGGGTTACACCACATCTTAAAAACAATTTCGCCAAGTCTTTTCTGTCAGTGACGCCAATATGTTGCCAGCACGTCTGAAGAAACCAATCCTGTGTCGTAATTATTATAGTTGTGTAACTTGTGTGAGTTAAGGAAGTTTGTATTACTCACATTGAATATGTCCCTTCTGCATTATTATTCCTGGTAAATCACTGATCTCAAACTCAATTCCTGGAGGGCCACAGCTCTGCACAGTTTAGCTCCAACCAGCTCCCACTCACACCTGCTTAACAGTTTCTAGAAGACTTGAACACCTTGATTAGTTGGATCAGGTGTGTTTAATTAGAGTAAGAGCAAAACTGTTGAGTGTTGTGGCCCTCCAGGAATCTAGTTTGAGACATGTGTTAAACCATTATTGGCAATAAAAAGACACATACACACAGTTAATCGTCATTTAACTGGATTGATGAGGTATGTGTTTGCATAAATTATTAATAATTATTAAGCCTCGGTTTACATTGAATTCATAACCGCTAAGCCCTTAGCTGTTACCGTGTATTCACTGTAGGCCATGGCTTCATGGGATTTACTGCTTTTTATAAAATAGTTATTGATTACATAAACAAATATACAGGTATCATCAAACAAAACAAAACAAAACAAATAAAGCTGTTTCTTTGCCTCTGTATATGTTATGGAGTTGTTGAGCAACTGTCACAGGCGTATGTTTGTAGAGAAATTACAAAACAAATCAACCAATCAGAATCAACGACTAGAACTAACTGGTAACCTTTTATGCTAATTAAAAAAAACACCGACTAATTAACAGTATTAGTTACAGTATTGATTTATTACTTTTCTGTTCATACATTGGTAAAAGTATATGTATTTTAATGGGCTAAAACAAACAAAAAAATAATACTCAAAGTAAATAAATAAATAAAACCAAAGAATTTTAAAGTTTTTTTATTTGTCGCTGTTGATGGCTTGATTCTGATTGGCTGGTGAACCGCACAGCTACAGTAAAATAGTTCCAGGCCTGTCTTAGTTCCAACCACAATACAGTTCCATAGCAGTCCCGAATTGTTTGACTATCAGGGTGGTCAACTGTTTCGGTTAGTTTGTGTAATTATTGTTTGAGTCATTTATGTTTTTTTTATTATTACATCTAGTTCAGCATTTTGAGGGGTGCCAAAAAAAACTAAAATTACCGCTGTTAAAGTACAGACATTTACCGTAGAAAAACAGACAGTTAATTATATAAATTTACCGGAAATTTAAATGTATTTTATGGTAAATTCCCAGTACTGGGTTACAACTGAAACGGCATCCGCTGTGTAAAACATGTGGATAAGTTGACGGTTCATTCCACTGTGGCAACCCCTGGGCCCTCATGAATAAAGGGACCTAGCTGAAGGAAAATGGATGAATAAATTTTAATGTAAATGTCTGTAATTTAATGGCCGTTATTTGACTTTTTTCAGCACTCCTGCTGCCAGGAAGAAAAAAAAACTATAAAATAACATTTTTAATTTACAGTGTGTGTTCTGACCATCAATATTCCCTGATTAGCTATTTTAAATGCTACTGTAGGTTAAACTACAAAATATGTGTCTTATTTTATATTTTATTTTCAGGCTAAATATAGATACATTTGTTTTCGAGAAAACAAAGTCTTGTGATCCCGATGTCTATCACCCCTTTCAGGCTTTTTACTTGAATAGACTGATTGGCGGGATTATGCTTTCACAATGGTTTGAACCATCATAGGGGTGGTCAAATGTATGTTTATATTATCAAATATTTTAATTATTTACATTATTATTTAAAATACAGATCATAGAGAAATATTTCTCAGTAATTAAGAACTGATCCCCTATACATCTTGTTTTGACCTCCTTAGGGGGGGTCAAGCGTTAATTAGGGGGTCAATCCCCCCAAACTCCCCTGTAATTCGCACCTTTGCTTCTTCACAATCTACAACTAATCAAAAACATCAAAACAAAGGATTTTCAATGAGATGTGGAGCTGTTTGAAGACAAAAACCTGACAAATGTCTGGAAATCCATTATCTAAACAATGTCTTTTCGTGATTTAACCATATAAGCAGAATAATGGACTCCAGTCCGTTGAATTATTAGTGGTGGTGGTGATGCCGCCTTAAGTTAACTCTTCCTCCGAGATTTGTTTACAAGATAACAGCGACGTGTCTGAGGTAAATATGAGGTGAAAAATAGTCAACAGAATCAATCATATACGTGTTCAAATTGTACAAAAAGTGTAAAAATTTAATTTGTGTGTTTTCAACAAAATCACGTTTCCACCACAAAATGATACAAACAGCTACAAAACAGCCTTTAACGTAGTTCCCATGAAGCCTTGCGAGGTACTTTGTTTACAGTTGCAGTTTCTCACTTGAGATTTTATCTGAAATGACCGAAAGTAACAGTCGCCCGGTCGGCCAGCTGGACTACGGGATCTGTGGACCTGCTGAGCTCCGTTTGCCATGCGCGTATATCAGCATTCAACACGGACAAGTTTTATATTTAGACGTCTGCTCCAGATGATTCAATGGTGACTGTACATGCAGTAACAGTGGCAAGACGTTCCTCGCGGTCAACATTTGCGCAGCTTTCTTCACTTATGAAATACAGTACGCACGCCTGAACGGAAGGACAGACCTTTGAGGAAATGATCGGATAGTGCAGTCTGCATTCTGCAAAAGAGGGCAGGAGGAATGACTACCTCATATAGGATGTGTTTGGAGACCCAGCGCAAATCTCATCTCAGCTTTGCCTGACTTTCTGCACTCAATCCACACGCGCTGTATACTAGAATAAGCGAGATAAAACTGGACCAGATTTTAATATGTAGTGATGCGCGCTGCTTTAATGAATCGCAAGACGCTGGACGTCACAGCCGTGCCACAGGTGCGCACTAAACTTTGGTTATTCATTATTGATTAACAGCGGAAAGAAAAGGAGGAACGCGCAGCGGAGGGACAAAACAATTAGGCTACTCGCAGTATGGAGATCATGTCCAATCTACCTACAGGAGAGGCTGGTGGCGACCACACCAATGCGGTTTCCATGTCTGCGGGCATGGAGAGAGCCGATGTGACCAGCCCGAGTCCGGTGAGCAAACAGAGGTCCCTGCGGGCTGTGTATGTGCTGAATGATGGACTGAAGGCAGTGGCTGCGAATAGCCCGGAGTCCGGGGCTCTCCAGTGTCTCCAGCGCGCCTGCGACGCGGAGAGTGCCATATTGACCACAGTCACCTTCGGACGATTAGACTTTGGGGAGACCACTGTGCTTGATACTTTTTACGATGCAGGTGGGTTCGGATGGCACTGTGTTTAGGGTTTGTTTTTAGAGGATCTCCTTCTGGCACACCCAGTTTAGGTTTTGAAACTTCTAAAAGCGAAAGTGAGGATGATTTTAAGACTGAGTCAGGTGTGTTGGGTTAAGAACATTTCCAAAATCTGTAGTATTGGGGGCTATTAATCCTTCCATTAATCATATCCTTTTAGAAGAGCAGATTTTGCACAAGTCTTGATAGATGTGTGTGCATTTGAACCACGTTATTGTCCATTATAGGAAATTTGTAAGAATAGTAAAAAGTAATAATGAAAAGAAACATTATTAACATTTAGTTAAATATGTAATATATTTATACTTTAATTTTATACAATAAATATGTTCTGAATCACAATTCTATGACGTTATAAAATACTAGTGTCTATGCATGGTAAAAAAAATATATATTCATAAACAAAACATCATAAAAACAGTACAAACAGTTAACTAAAACTGAATAAATGGTGGTGAACACATTCAATAAAACATTTTTTTTATAATTTACTATTAAATGATCAGAAAAGTTTATTATATATAATATATAAAATATTATTCAAAATATGAATACAGCAGCTATATAATGCAACAATAAACAATAGCAGTCTAAGTGTGTTTTATATAATGCATTATAAAAGAATACAGTCCTAAGCATATACAGTATGAATACACCCCTCACAATCTCTCATTTAAATGAATCCATTCTAAAAGAAGGATTACAATATTATATTTGTGCATATACATTAGTTTGGTCAGTACTGAAGCCAAATTTGAAGCTTATCCAACAAAATAACTTACAATAATGTTTCAAAAATTAGTAGCCCAAATGTATATGTTAGGGTAAAATAATAAATAACATTTTTAAAAATAGCAAAAATCAAGAGAAGCAAAAAATATCTACAGTTTTGTTAAAATGTTGTATTTTTTCAATATTTTGCGTGAATTTAAATATATTATCTTTCAATTTCTAAAGATGTTTTGTGAAATATATCTGTTTAATAAATCTGTTTTGTTTAAATGCAGCAATATATATTACCAATATTCACTAAGAAATTAACTAGCATATTCATTTGTAAAATGGGGTGTAATCATTTATGCTAAGCACTGTATATCATAAAGTAAATAAAAAATAAGTGTTTTTTCAAATGAATTAACATGTATGTCCAATATATATTGTTATGGATGAATAATTGTTCCCAGGTAATATTAAACTCTTCTGAACTTTGGCTTTTGCAACCAGGCCAGTTTATGAGTGAATCATTTAAACCATTGACCTGAATCAACCAAAACACTGGCTAGTACTTCTCTTAATGGCCATTTTTGGGGGTCAGTGGGCTTTCCTATTGGAAGGTGTTACTACAAGATCACTGCAGACTCCGTCTAGGAGTATTACGATCCTGATTGTGGTCTTCTGCCTCTGGCACATTCTTTTCCTGGAATTTACTCGCCAGGTCTAGCATGAAGTGTCTCACGCGGGTGAGGCTGTTACTCTGGCTGATCACAACACGCTTCCAGATGAGTTCAATGGGTGAAAAGGGCAATGTTTTTAGAACTCACGCAGGGTGTTTTTAGTCATGCAGTATTTGTTTCTACATGGCTCATTTGGAGCCATTTTTGTCATGGGAAAGATATTTAGAGGATCAAAAAAAGTGCATTTTAGAGTTGAATCTTTGTATGCCCATCTTGCAAAATTGAAGTTTTAAATATAGCTTCTTCATCATATGCATTTCTGTTGACTACAACTGACTAATTTTCTTGTTATTATATATCTCCCTTCTCCTAACATTGAGTCATGCATCAGCTCAGCTGCATCAAGTCTGGTCTTGTATTTTGTAGGTTACGGCTTTCAGATGTTTGCATAGTTTCTGTAGAATAAGCGCAGATCGTGTTTGACTGGAAGAGAACAAATATAGCCATATATGGGAGAACAAATATGCCCTTAGAACTATTTTAAACACACAAAGCTTATTTAAAGACTGTACAGTGTGTCTGATGTCATGGAAAGTCTTAATAAACAAAAGAAGCTCATAAAAATCACATTCAATGCTTGTTTTTTAAAATCGCTGGCACTAAAGTATGCAGACTACTCTAGTGGATTGCAGTAGTAGGATTCTGCATTATGTGATCTTCCTGCATGCTCACTGTGTCTCTGATTGATTGCAGATATTGCAGTTGTGGACATGAGTGATGTGTTCAGACAGCCCTCTTTGTTTTATCACCTCGGGGTCCGTGAGAGCTTTGACATGGCCAACAATGTTATCCTCTACCACGACATGGACCCCGACACAGCACAGTCCCTTAAGGTGAGAGTCATGGTTTAAAACACACACGTACATATAAACTAATGTTTGTCAAGGTGTCTAGCACTTTCATATACCGTGAGCACACATACTACAGTGTATGATGATATCAGTAGTTTTCAGAAACGAATATAAATCTGTTTCCAAAATGCTGTTGTACTATAAATAAATGTCCAGAAAATAGTTTCAGTTGTTTGGGGAGGTGCTGATAGCAAAAGCTAAAACTAAAGGAGACTTTTTTTTTGTCCAAACAGTGGAAAAGGAGGAGTGTGTTGTGGAAACTGTTTGGTAATAGTGAATATTTTTGCAGTTGTGTTTTTTTGCAGCTGTGCTTTTAAATAAAGCAAAAACAAAGACTATAGAATACACTAGACATGTCACTCGTATTGTTTTATATAGGGAAAAGTGAACAGGTCACTTCTAGCCCCGCCTTCTAGTATAGGAGCCAATCGTCGATCGATATAGACTGACAATACTCGGGGGGAGGACCAGACTTGAGTTTCTGTAGATTTTGTGTGATTTGGACGTTTAGAAAAGAAACTAAAGAGATAGTTGTTGTTTAATTTTATTGGTGATTCCTAATATAAAAATCGAATCATAAGCTTGGTAAGCGGTTTTAAAGAGTTTGATGTTTCCCCATTCAAACAGTATGCCCAAGCATACTGCCCAAGAGGCGTTTCAAAGAAGAGCGCTGAGTGAAATTACATGTCTTAAAGGGACTTTGCTAATAGTTAATGCTACACTTATATGACTACAAAATAATCCAGAACCAATGTTACCTCTAAAGCAAATACTTAATATTTATTTTAAATTATTTGAAAAATACTAGTTTACTTTTAGGGGTTTTTCACATTTACACTTTTAGTCCGCACCTGCATTTATTTCACGCTAAGTTCATTTGGCTAATGTTATCGGGGTCTTCTGAACTACTCAAACTGTGCCTGAAAGAAGTGGTCTGGGGTAACATCCACTCATGATGTGAACCTAATTGCATTAAATTGGTTAAACTGTATATTCATACATTTACTCACTCATTTTTCTGACATGCACAAATGGGCGGCAATTCGCTCTAATGCTCTGTGCACAGTTTCTGCATTTTTAAGTAGTTGTAGTGTTTCAATTACTCACGCCACATCCCTTGCCATATTTAGCTACCGCGACAGTGCATATGAGATGAATGACATCAGGACATAATAACCTATTATGATTATTACTGAATGGACACAGAATTATCTGCAACTGCATTGCGGTGCACCAAAGAAAAATACATTTTGACACCCCTATAATTTAGCTAAGATACAAGATTTCGAAAGTAACATTGTCATTTTTGTGTAAAATTTCAAAGCGCCATTTTGTGAAAACTGTGACTCCATGTGCATGTTTTATGCATTCAGACTACGTCCGAAATTTCTTACTACTCAGTGCGTAGGTACTGCATTTGAATTTAAATGTACTACTCGATTGTTAGAAAAGTGCATTCGATACAGTATGAATGTGAGTAGTATGAATGAAATTTGGACGTACTTCACTCCCGTTCATGAATTTTTATCATGGGATTGTGTATTGTTCATCGAATGCGCACTACAAAATCTTGCCAGAAGTAGTAGGTCATCCAGGTACTTCTCGCATACTGTTTTTCGAATTTTATGAATTTGGACATACTACTTATCTCGCATACTGTTTTTAGTGTACTATATAGTATGGAAGTATGCAATTTCGGACGCAGTCTCAGTCTACAGAAATGCATGTGTACAGCTAAAACAATAATGATGGACATCAAAATCGTATGTGTGCATACTCTTTTATTATCATATAAATTACCCTTACATAAGTACTTTTTGCCTTTTAACGACATCCAAAAAAAGGACTTGTTTGTTCACACGAGCACAGTTGTTTTTAAAATCTTAATTGTTTTCTACAAAGTTTCTGTTTGTCCACACAAAAACGCATCGAGTGACTGAAACTGAAACTTTCGGAAAACTTTGGGTACAGTTGGGTTAGATAGAAAATACAAGAGGAGTTTTCCGCCTCATGAGCTCAGCGTGCGCTCTGTTTTCTCCTTTCTAATACACCAAACTTTGAAAATGTGAATAAAGCAAATTTCACTGGTTCAAACATAACATAACACAACCCAAACATAACACAAACATCGCATATTCCACTTTGTTTCACCGCAGGATGGTAATCTCCCTCTCTTCTTATGTTTGCATTGATTTGTATGCAGTTTACTCACGAAAATACTTAATTCCTGTTTGGTGTGGCAAAAACTTGTCTTTATCCCCGACCATTGGTTCGGCGTGCCCTTAACACAGTGTGTTTTTGTGTTTTCATGTGGACAGAGATTTTTTTCCAAAGGAAACTGGGGAAAAAATATGTTTATAAAAAACCCATAGACATTGCCTTACTTAGCTATAATACTTAAGAATTAGAATTTCTCCTTACAAAGACGCTTGCAAGGGTTTGTGATAAGTTATGTCTTCAAGCCTGCAGGCTCATATTCTCACATTTAGTATCTCTGTCATCTGAACAAAGAGGCCGCCCACCACTAGGCCCTGACCTACTATTCTGAGTCTAGGAAGGAGTTTATCTTTTCTGGGCACTGGACAGTAGAGCTGCCAGAACAACACGCACTGTTTTCAAGCAAAGGCATGCAGTCAGTCCCAGGACAGCTGCACATGGCCACGTTGCACACAGAGACATTGGAAGGCATGTGTTCTTCTGGCAAACTGTAACAATGACAATCACGCTTGGGGAGAAGCGTCACGCGATCCACTTGTGTATTTGTTAACATGTCCAACTGATTCATTCCCTATTAATAATGGAGTGAATGGCATTACACTGCAAGACGGTCTTGTGATTGATATTATCATGTGATATAAAAAAATACATGTTGCAATATTGCAGTTGAGTAATTTCTCTCTTCTCTTTTCTCTTGCATAGGACATGGTGGCACAGAAAAACACAGTAAGTGTCAAAAGACTCCTTGCAGGACTGGTAATCCAATGAGGTTTGGCGTCTGTTGTTGGTGTGCCAATAGCTTTGTGTATTAGACTATTTTTGAACATCTTATGATGACATACGTTTACATGCTCATGGCCCTAAAATAAACCCACCACTGTGAGCAGAAGCTGTATGCAAGAGTTGTATGAGCACAGAAGGTTCTAGTGTGTCACTTTGAAGACTGGTGCTGGTCCAGAAGAGTTCATAAGGGTTGTGAAGGTGTTGTGGTCATTTAAGTTAGTGGGTGTTAGTGGTTTTGATAAAAAGAGAGGGTCGTTGTGTGCTAGACTTTAAATAAATGTCTTATTGAGCAACTGGTGAAAAGAAGCTGACCTTGATGGTGATTTATAGCTGTGAAATGATCCAGTACACTTTTCAACATTTTGTGGATAGATGTGAATTTCTATGTTCGCTTTCACCTTCAACTATACTTTCTCAGCTGAAACGAGTAGTTCACTCAAACATTCAGTCAGTATTATTCTATGGTTATTTTCAACTTTCTTACTTTAGAGTATCGAAAAAATTAAGCATCAAAATAATGCAATAAAACGATTGAAATTTCAGAAAATAGCCCTTAAGTTTTATGTGTAAGTGTAGGATTTCATTTTAATTTTGGGACAAGATAGTCTATGACACTGTTCTCTGCACCTACCGAGTCAGTGAAGGACCACAGACACCTGCATCGCGAAATGCAGAGGCTTTTTTTATACGGCACAGTATCAAATTCCATTAAAACAATACTTGTCCAATCACTTGCATCCAATATCTCGGTTGTCACAGAGGACACTTAATTAATCATTTAAACAAATAGACAGTGGATTTAATATCATATTCATTTACTTGTATCAGGCCCATAAATGCATGGAAAAAATAATCAGTACATTTCTTAAAAATGTTGCACATAAGAAAGAAACTAATACAGATTTGAATCAATATAATGATGAGTAAGGGATGACCAAATTTTTGAGTGAACTCTTCCTTCTGCTTTCTCAAAACTCTTTGTTTACTCTCTGTTTTTCGTTCTCTGTTAACACCATTTAGTGTGTTTATAAATTACCTGTCACTATCGTTCCTCTTTTCCTTTCCGCTCCCTTCACTGTTTGCTCTCCTTTTGCTTTCTTTTTCTTTATCTTGTGTGTTACCTGGAGTAGGCTGCAAGACCAGTTAAAATAGGCTTCCCTTGGGTGCAGCTGCCTCCCGAATACAGAGGCTCTGGCCTAAGAAACAAAGTAGGTACTCTAGCATGCTAGTGCATTGTGGGGAACTCCTGTTTGCATGCGTTGGAATCTTACATCATTAGCTGACATGTCAATTCAGGAACTAAGAACTCAATAAATCAGTTAGTTATTTGTTGCTCAAAAACAACTTGATTAATTTTCAATTATTTTTTGTCATTAATACATCAGATTGAAAGTTGCTATCATTATCAATCTTATCAAGCATTCTGTATGGGCCGCACACATATCCCATCTTTTGTGCAGTCATAGTGGAACATTTAATTTAAATGTAGACGCAGATACATTTTAGAGAGGAAGTGGTGATCCTTGTGATATCCAAGTTTACACATGACTAGAGAGCGGCTCCATAAATAACAATAGAGGACATACAGCAGATTCTGATCTTGTTCTTTGACATGTAGCAGTTTGTCACAAGATGACAAGTTTTGTTTGGGCATTGCTGCATTCTGTATAATTGCAGTGTCTTGTATTATGTACTAAAAATAGCACTTCCTGTGTTGTCATTCTCATGACTAGCTGCACACGCAAGTGACGATTGTCTGTAAACCAATAACGTACAGTATCAGCTTTAGCTCAACCCTTTTCGTACCAAACATTCTTTTGGAGAAGGGTGTAAAATATAGGAGCCAGCTCCAAATAGGCTGGTCAGCTTCAAGTGGGTGGGAATTGGAGCTCCACAATCCTAATGGAGTTTTGATTTATTTAATGTCTTGTACATGACACAGAGTCCACCCTATCCTGTTTTAAGAATGTCTACCCCAACCCTAAACCCAACCTCACAGTAACCTGTTGAATTTTATTAACGTCTAGGCTAAACCCTTGTGTCATAAGTCCCTCCCACGTGGAGGTCACCTGATCAACTTGCGGTGTAATTCCTCCCACTTGGAGGTCTCCAGGCTGCAGTAGTTATGGGATTTTTAATCAATTTACCGACTCTGACCTTTGAGTCTCATTCATTGAGATTAATACATTTTTCTCTATTCACTTGGCTCATTTTGTTTAATTGGCAAAATATTATAAAAATATTATGAGTTGCTTACAAACACAACTAACCCAATCGTTGATCACACTACGAACGAATAATAACTACAATTCTATTGACCTTATTCTTTGTGTACGAGTGGGCGCAATCGTTTGAATCTTTTTTGGCTTGAGACTTCTGCTCTTATTTACTTCCATTTATTTTTAGACATTAAAAACAGTTTATTATGCTGCTTGATTTTGCTAACTGATATTCTCTTATTATATTATTCTGCTTTGTCTGTATAGTCATGAACACACTTGTTTGTAGAGCAAGTAGTTTGACCGTTTTTTGACATTTGTGTTAGCACTGTCACCTCACAGAAAGAAGGTCGCTGGTTCGCGTCCCGGTTGGGTCAGTTTGCATTTCTGTGTATGTTCTTCTCGTGTTTGTGTGTTTCTTCCAGGTGCTCCGGTTTCCCCCACAGTCTTATGACATGCGATATAGGTGAATTGAATAAACTAAATTGGCCGTAGTGTATGTCTGTGAATGAGTGTGTATGGATGTTTTCCAGTTTTGAGTTGCAGCTGTAAAGGCATCCGCTGTGTAAAACATATGCTGGATAAGTTGGCTGTTCATTCCGTTGTGGCAACCCCTGAGGAATAAAGGGACTAAGCCTAAGGGAAATGCATGAATGAATATATTATATATATTATGCTAGATACCCTTAAGAAAGGGTCTTAAAAAGTGGTATGGTAGGGTACACTTTTTTGGTTCTTCTGATAATGAAAACTGTGCTGTACTGTACTGCTCAATGGAAACAAGCCATAAGTGGAACCAAAGTCTTCCTGTGGCTTTAAAAATAGTATTTTCCTCCACGATGCTTCAACTGCGAGTCTAAGAATTGAAAATGTGCTCAGCATTTATGCTTAGACCACAGGCCTTGATAATTGAAATAGTCTAGTAGTGTGTGCTGAGTTGAAGGAGTCTTGCAAGTGACCCCTTGCATTTGAGGTGTTGATGTGGCAGTGTGCTGAGATGTGCTTTGGCCACCTCCTCCATTTCACTCTGGAATTCTGAGTCAGTACATGATCACACAAAGGTGTCAACAAGATTTCCTTGCCTCTTTGCATTCCTTGGCTGCCAGCAGCTGAGTACATGATCACTAACACCTAGACATTTCTAACAGTCCGTACTTCTACACTATTCCAGACACATATTTCACATTCCAGTGTTCTTTAAAGTGCGTTTACTGTGCTTATCAAGGCCCGTTCACATCAAAGATGATAACTATGATGATGAACATCTAGTTATGAAAGTAATTCTTATAGTGGGGTGCAATATTAGCAAAGTAACTTTTAAAGTAAATAATAATTGTGTTGATTTAGGCCTATTATGGTAAAATGACACAAAACTGGCAGTAGAGGGCAGCAAGTCTCTTCACTGAATCATTCATTCAAACAATTCGTTCAAAACAGCTGATTCATTTTGAAATGAATTAATGACTCTCTTCTTGAGTAGATCCCTGAATTATTTTTTTTCTTTTTCAAAATTTTCTTTCAAAAATAGATTTATTTAGTAACGAGACATGTACACTTAATGCTCTGAATTTTTTGAAATTTTTTTTGTAGGAGAAACAATCAGAATCCATCCTGCCTTTAAAAGCCTGGGCAATAAAAACAGCAAATGACAAAATTGCAGCATGAGCTTGGAAAATATACAACGATATTGTCTGTAGGTTTGGACAATAATATAGACTGTAAAAATGATATGACAAAAAAATCATTTCAACGGCTACATTTTTAGATGACTAAAATTTTTATTTTAATTCAAATAAAAAAATAAAGGGGATCTGCCAAAATGCTATCTGTTAGCATAATAGCTTTGAAAACACAGTCCCTCCCCTGCTGTCCAAAGCCACACCTCCTGAAATCATGAACGCGCACATTAAAAATGACAATAGACAGCCCACTAGATCATGTCATTCGCCAGTTGGAAGACTTCACAATACTTTATAATACTACAATTCTAAATAAAAAACAAACGTATTATATTTAGAACGTGGCGAAGCAGTGGCACAGTAGGTAGTGCTGTCGTTGGTTCGAGCCTCGGCTCAGTTGGCGTTTCTGTGTGGAGTTTGCATGTTCTCCCTGCGTTCGCATGGGTTTCCTCCGGGTGCTCCGGTTTCCTCCACAGTCCCAAGTCATGCGGTACAGGTGAATTGGTTAGGCTAAATTGTCCATAGTGTATGAGTGTGTGTGTGTGAGTGTGTGTGTGTCCCAGAGATGGGTTGCGGCTGGAAGGGCATCCGCTGCGTAAAAAACTTGCTGAATAAGTTGGCAGTTCATTCCGCTGTGGCGACCCCGGATTAATAAAGGGACTAAGCCGACAAGAAAATGAATGAATGAATATTTAGCACGTTTCCAGTGTAGCAAGATAAACTTTAATGTGCAATATTTCTCACTCTCTCATGTGCTTTGTCCTAAATCGACTACTGTATGCTTAGTGCTTGGCCAGCGGCGTGCAGGAATTATACCTATAACTAAGCCATACTTGAGTGCTTTTTCAGACAGAATATACAAACTAGCATGGTAAACAATATAGGGCAGGGGTTCTCAACTGGTTTGGCCATGGGACCCACATTTTTACAAGGTCATCAAGCCACAACCCAAATTTTTAGGAACTATAATACAATTTTAGGAATTATAATTAATTTGTATTTATTTGTTAACATACACAAGTAGTGACATAAATCATAAGAAAATCACTAAGACTTACAAATAAACAATATTTTATTACTGTCATTTAACGAAATATATGAAGTTATACAAATATTACAAAGTGAAAACGACAAATACTGTAAAAAGTGGTTAGGTTAAGGAAAGGTTTAGTTACCATGAACTAAACTGAACTGTTAATAAAACATGTTGTCTGGTTTCTAAATGTCATTTTAATTTAGAAGGTTTTGTGTTCTCTTATGAGAGCACCTCGCTACTTATGACAAACTGAGGCTTTAAGTCTTTTTTTGTCGTCAATATATGTAAATCCATACTTTAAACCAGGGGTCACCAAACTTGTTCCTGGAGGGCCGGTGTCCTGCAGATTTTAGCTCCAACCCTTATCAAACACACCTGAACAAGCTAATCAAGCTCTTACTTGGTATTCTTGAAACACCCAGGCAGGTGTGTTGAGGCAAGTTGGAGCTAAACCCTGAAGGGACACCAGCCCTCCAGGACCGAGATTGGTGACCCCTGCTTTAAACCTTCCGGGTCGTACTTGCGCTCCGCATTATTTGTTGCTATAATAAAATGAAATTTCACATGTAAAACGGTAGGGTGGTCGTGCCCGCATTTAAAAATAAAAGTCAAAATGAGTTAGAAATGAAACTTTTGTTGTATTTTTGTCTACACACTCTGAGACCCACTGAAAATGACCCACCAGTTGAGAAACACGGATATAGGGAGTCTGTCACTGGTTGTCATTGTCCAAACTAATGAACCATTGTGAATAAAAAACCAACTTGACCTCAGTAAAGCAGGCTAGTTAAACAGGCTATGTTTTGTTGTTAAACTAAATAAAAATCTACATTATCGATGCTGTAAAAGTTCCCTTATGAAATTGAAAACAGTCACATTAATCTTTCGCCAGAAAATTTCAGTGGGTGAACAACACTTCCGTGCATATAACCCATTTTTAAAACAACACAATCTACATAAGCTTTGCCTTACTAAAATAGTTTTAAAACAGAACATTACCTGTCTTAAAGAAATACTTCAGCCATGGTGTCATCCTTCCTCTAGCGTGCAAAAATAACTCCAATTTTGATTCAGGATTTTAAAAAGTTTCGATTCAGCATTTGTTTTTACTCTTGTCACTCTCTCATGTGCAAGTGAACGCACTTGATTGCACAAACAGCAGATCTGTGTGAAAAGGGGTGCACAGATGTACAAATCTACATTTGTTGACAAACAGTTTATTATTAATATTTACTTATCAGTATTATGGGAATTGTCGACCCGACAAATTTTATTGGACAAACATTTTTTAGTCTTACACCTTATCCAGAATATAAAAATACATTTAGATCATTTATTTTATTCATTATTATTGGAATGTGAAGAGACTTTCAACCAGCACAACTAAAAATGTTTCTAAAGACAATCACCTACTGCACCTTTAAGGCAACATGCTTTTTTGTTGTGTAGTTATTTTTACATTATCATGATATGAAATTGCATTTAAAACTGCTTTCTCCTTTTTTAGGCCTCTAGTGGGAACTACTATTTCATCCCATACCTGATGACACCCAACAACGAGTACTTGTGCTGTGAGAATGTGGCCCAGCGCAGAGCATCAGAGTACATGCAGCCCAACTGGGACAACCTTTTAGGACCTCTGTGTGTCCCTTTGGTGGACCGCTTCGTCAGCCTTCTCAAAGACATTCATGTCACGTCTTGGTATGACTGCTCATATTATGATCACCCCTGGCAGGATGCCAACTCCCATGCAGTGCTTCACAGATCCGTTACATGATGGTGTCATGTCATGTTTTGCTTAGCGTAAATCAAGCCAACACTACCTAATTTTAACCAAACAAATCATATAAAATACATTTTTATATAATGATTTCTTTTTTTGTTGTTAACATTGAATTACAGAGTTAAAATGGGATAGTTTACCCAAAAATGAAAATTCTGCCATCATTTACTCCCCCTTAAATGTGTTTCTTCTGTACAAAATGCTGATTGCTGGGACCCATGGACTTCCATTGTCCCTATTAAAGGAGTTGATGGTTGCCAGCAGCCAGCATTCTTCAAAATATCTTCTTTTTTTTCTTGAACAGATGAAAGAAACGCATAAAGGTTTAAAACCACAATAAATGATGAGGTAGTTTTCATTTTTGGATGAACTCTCCCTTGAACTCAGTATTAAATGATCCACATCTTATCATCCATGTAGTGAATAACTGAGACTCAACCCAAATGGGATGGTTATATCAGCCATATTATATAATAAGAACAGACATGCAGAAGACCCAGCAAGATTTATTGGGAACTGCAGTAGCCTCTAACAAGTATCAGGGTGTCCTTTCACCTGGAGCTCAGATGTCAAAAGTCTGGAACTTCTATAGTGCCAAGGTTTCCACACCTTATAACACACAGTACAAATTGCTCTTGTGTTACTGGATTTTTGTCTGTTGGTATAAAGTCCAGCCCACTTTGCAGCTGGCCAAGACAATATGTTTTATTTTACATGATGTTTTTAATTAATTAGTTAATTAGATCGCCTTTGAGTTTCTCGTTTGAGATTTGATAATACATATCATTTAAGTTTTTGGAAATTGAAGTTAATGCATCATCTGAATTTTCACTGAATACGCTTTCCATTGATGTATGGTTTGTTAAGTTACAATTTTTGTCCAGTTTTGGACGAGATACAACTATTTGAAAATCTGAAAGCTTCAAAAATTCTAAATATTTCAAATTAAGTTCTCATATATGCACATTACTAATCAAATATTGAGTTTTGATATATTCACCATAACAAATATGCAAAATATCTACATGGAATAATATATATATATATATGTTTTGGCATGATCTGATTCATTTTATTGGCAAGAAATAGCCATGCAACATAAGACTTTCCAGGGTCTGATTTCAGGGTCACATTTAATTTGTTAACAGTGAATTTAATCCATTATTCCTAATAGTAAAACATAATATGTTCCTTTCTATTTTGATATCGGCTCATTAATGTTTATTTTTTTAAAGTTATGGCTAATGCTAATAAATTGTATAATATTTACTAATTGATGAATGTTGCTTGCCTTGCCTTGGCTTTGATTGTGCACAATGTGATATGTTGCATGCCCCAAGTGCATATTTCAGAAGCGTTTACGCTAGAAGAAAGACAAGAGGTGCACAGTGTGTGTGTTTTTCACTATAGAAATGTAGCTATTTGCAAATGATTTGGGGGAAAAAGACCTTAAATGTTTCTTTGCACTTTCCATGTTTTCCGTAGTTAATGTTTTAAAACAAATTCAGTTGCCTGCTTTATTTGTTTTTATGAGTTCTATTTTTGTACTAAAGTTTATTATCAAGATATATTTATAATATATTAATCAGCATATACACTCACTGGCCACTTTATTAGGTACACCTTACTAGTTCCGGGTTGGACCCCCTTTTGCCTTCTGAACTGCCTTAATCCTTTGTGGCATAGATGCAACAAGGTACAAGAAATATTTCTTAGAGTTTTTGGTCCATATTGACATGATAGCTTCACGCAGTTGCTGCAGATTTATCAGCTGCACATTATTGATGCGATTCGTCTTTCCACCACATTATAAAGGTGCTGTGTTGGATTGAGATCTGGTGACTGTGGAGGCCTTTTAAGTACGGCCTTTTTGGTGAGCTTGTGTGAATTGTTGCCTCAGGTTCCTGTTCTTAGCTGATAGGAGTGGCACCCAGTGTGGTCTTCTGCTGCTGTAGCCCATCTGCCTCAAGGTTGGACATGTTGTGCATTTAAAGATGCTCTTCTGTGCACCTCGGTTGTAACGAGTGGTCATTTGAGTTACTGTTGCTTTTCTATCAGCTGGAACCAGTGTGGCCATTCTGCTCTGACCTCTGGCATCAACAAGACATTTGCTCCCACAGAACTGCGGCTCACTGGATATTTTTCAGACCATTCTCCGTAATCCCTAGAGATGGGTGTGCGTGAAAATCCCAGTAGATCAGCAGTTTTTGAATTGCTCAGACCAGCCTGTCTGATACCAACAACCATGCCAAGTTAAAAGTCACTTAAATCACCTTTCTTCCCCATGCTCGGTTTGAACTGCAGCAGATCGTCTTCATCATGTCTATATGTCTAAATGCGTTGAGTTGCTGCCATGTGATTGGCTAATTAGAAATTTGCATTAACGAGCAGTTGGACAGGTGTACCTAATAAAGTGGCCGGTGAGTGTATATCACAGTTGTATAATAGTTATTAGTATCAGACAAAATCTTCATATCAATGCATCACTAACATTTAATTCCTACAGTGCTTCATACAAAGATGCACTCCTGAATGACATCCGAAAAGCTCGAGATAAATACCAGGGTGAGGAGCTGGCCAAAGAGCTTTCCCGTATCAAACTCCGCATCGACAACACTGAGGTTTTGACTCAAGATATTGTCATGAACCTGCTTTTCTCCTACAGAGACATACAGGTATGGTGTAGAATAGACCAAAACATTTAAAATATCATTAATAGCTGTACTGCTGGTTTTAATGGGCTTTGGTGATGTGTTTTTTCAGGATTATGATGCTATGGTTAAACTGGTGCAGACCATTGAGATGTTGCCCACCTGTGACTTGGCCAACCAGCCCATGATTCAGTTCCACTATGCTTTTGCGCTCAATAGGTGACCACAAATCTGCATTGTGTGGTATATTTTTTCCTATTCATATGCTTGGCAAACAGACATTTATCTTATACGCTGATTTGATCTCAGGAAAAAATGCATTTATATTTGTGTGTGTGTGTGTGCAAACTCAGACGAAACAGCCCTGGTGATCGAGAGCAGGCGCTGCGTGTGATGTTGCAGGTTCTTCAATCGTGTGAACACCCTGCTCCTGACATGTTCTGCTTGTGTGGCCGCATATATAAAGACATCTTTCTAGACTCAGACTGTAAAGACACCAAAAACAGAGACAACGCCATCCAGTGGTGAGTGAGTTTAATGCACTGCTGGAAGCATACTGTTTTATGATGCTTAAAGGTCTTATAAGTAAATAAAAGAAGTCCCTTAGTTTGCTGAAAAGCAGTGACATGAAATTATGTAACTATCAAAAGCATTAAATGTATTTAAAACACACAGAACGTGAACAGTCACATTAAAGGGATAGTTTGAAAATTGAATTGCAAAAAAAATACAAATATTCTCTATTTACTTGAAATGTTTTTGAGATTTTTTTTTTCTGTTCAACACAAGATATTTTCAAGCAAGCTAAAAACTTGAAACCATTGACTTCCAAAGTTGGAAAAATAAATGCTATGGAAGTCAATGGTTACTGGTTTCCAGCTTTCTTCAAACTATATTATTTTGTGTTCAGCAGAAGAAAAAATCTTATATAGGTTTGAAATGAGTAAAGAGTGAGTAAGGGGTGAGTTTTGTGTGAACTATCCCTTTAAATGCACTGAAACCCCCTAGTATTTAAACATAAAAACATGTACTGTACAGCATCACATCAATCACATTCAAAGACCCCATTAATTGCATTTAATATGCTTAAAATATCAGCAGCAAATACTAATACACTGGCTGCAGCATTAACTGCAGAGAAATGCTCAGAGTACATATACTTTAAGCCCGGAGCAAAATACTCTGAATATTTCAGCATCCATGCTAATATGCAAAAGACTCGAACACCATAGTAACATATTTAAAAACAATAAAAAACACTGAGAATACCTAGCAGCCACATTAATTACTCTAAAAACACCTTAGTAACTGCATTAAATACATTGAAACACCCAGAACATCCTAGCGAACAAAGCTATACCTTGTAGGGCCAGACGAAATCAACAGACATTTTTTGCTATCTCTGCTTAGAATTTTGGTAAAAATCTGCGGATTTCTGCTGAATTATTTTGGGAGTATCATAACTAAAACCTTAATATGTGAAATAAGAAATAATATCTTTTTAACTTTTATTTAATGTTTAAAATACAAATTCAATTAGATTCACGTTATTTTTTAAACAAAGCAAGTCCTCATATAATATCTCTACTAAAAGACAGAAAATAATACTGTACAAACGGCATTGTACATAAATCAGATGAACATTTTCATATTAGTAAATAATATTACTGTAATTCATTTAAAAACTGAATAAATATAGATTAACACACATTTGCTTAAGTAAATAAACAGAATTAATGATGGGCTAAAAATCTGAAGAAAATGTGCTGAAAATCTGCAGAATTCTGCGTGCGAAGATTCCACATGGGCCTACTTATTAGCCTCATTAAATGCAGTAAAAATATATAAGTAATAGAGAAGGCTAGGTTATATGCAAAAAAATGGACAAAATTAGAACATATTCGAAAAAGGCATTACATGTACTGATTTAAACATTGAATGTGCTGACAGCCAGAGGAAAAACTAGCGGCCACATGACATGCACTAAACATCCAGAATACCCTAGTAACCCCTTCAAATGTGCTAGCTTTAAAGACCCTTCAAAGGCCCTAGCAACCATGCTAAACACACAGAACATGATAAAAAAAATGATATATACTCATTCATTCATTCATTTTCTTTTCCGCTTAGTCCCTTTATTAATCTGGGGTCACCTCAGCACAATTCAACCACCAACTTATCCAGCACGTGTTTTATGCAGCGGATTCCCTTCCAGCCGCAACCCATCACTGGGAAACACCCACACACTTATTCACACACATACACTCAGGACAATTTAGCCTACCCAATTCACGTACTGTACACCACATGTTTTTTTTGGACTTGTGGGGGAAACCGGAGCACCCGGAGGAAACCCACACGAACACGGGGAGAACATGCAAACTCCACACAGAAACACCAACTGACCCAGCCAAGGCTAACCAATGACCTTCTTGGTGCAAGACGAACATGCTACCCATTGCATCACCGTACAGCCCATAATATATATTAATAATTGAAATTTTACAAAGCAGCTGCACTAAACATTAACATATTTAATATGAGATTATCAAAACATTTAGTGCCGTAAACATCCAGATTACCCCAACAACCACAATACCTAAAAGCTGCATTGAGGTAAATGGAGTAAAAAGGCATCGGTATCCCTAGCAGCTTTAATAAATTCACTAAAACATACTTGAAGTTGCGTTGCATGCCATAAAACCCTCTTGCAACCAGATTAAATCTGCTAAAACACACAAAGGACAATGCTAAACAATGCCTAATATTAAAAATAATTCAGACCACTCAGTGACCACAGTAAATGTGCTGAAATCCCAGAGACCGCAACAGCAATAAATACTGAAATAAATGCTAAAAGCAAGCATATTACATATTGAAAACTCTTGAGAATACCTACCAGCTACATTCAATTCAATTAAATGAAATACGCAGAACACCCTGGTATAGCAACCATGCTAAAACCCAGAATACAATAGCACAAACAACCAGACACACATTTTATTGTGGTTGTTGCCTGGAATCCAATGGCAAAGACCTTAACATTGTGGCAGTGAGTTTCCAGTTGGATTTATTTAGAAAATGTTATTGTTGAATTATTGTGTATTTGTATTAGAAAAGGCTTTAGCTGCAGCCACTCTCAAATTACAGCATGCAACTGATGTTTTTTTATTTATATTAAAAATATATGAAAATATTTATATATATATTTTGAATTATTATTCTTGAATATGTCATTGATTAGAAACATTAATTTTGTGCATTTTTTTTTTGATATGGATATTTTTATTTGCTATATTACACAATTAAGTATTATAATGTTTACCCCATAAAAATGACCACTTACACACATAGAAATTTTCCAGTATATACTTACAAAACAAACAATGATACGCATACCAGTATACACACATAATCATACTCAAATTACACCTTTTAAATATGTGCATCCTGGAATCCACCTACATGTACATGTACTTTATGAGACCCTGCCATTGTTGCAGCTGTGACTTTGCAGAGTTCCAATTACACCTCTTTAGAATATGATATTGTCTAATTGTTATTTGTTGCTTGTGTTGCAGGTATAGAAAAGGTTTCGAGCTTCAGCCCACGCTCTATTCAGGGATTAATCTAGCAGTGCTGCTTATAGTAGCCGGGCAGCAGTTCGAGACTTCCATAGAACTCAGGAAGATCGGTGAGGAGGAAAAATATTTCTTGTTTTTTTTTCCGTTCAGTCACTTCATTAAGAGCACAGCTTCCTTCTCATCATCTCTCTCTTTCTCTATCTCTCTTGCTCTCTCTCCCTCTTTCTCTCTCAGGTGTAAGGTTGAACAGTCTGCTGGGCCGTAAAGGCAGTCTGGAGAAGATGAATAACTACTGGGACGTTGGACAGTTTTTTACTGTCAGCATGCTGGCCAATGACATCCCCAAAGCTGTGCAGGCCGCTGAGAAACTCTTCAAGCTCAAACCACCTATATGGTAGATTTATATAAGACACCTGTGGAATATTCATTCTGTATGTTTGCTCTTGTGTCAGTTTAACAAGCACAAATATCAGTGTCAGAACAAAAGTCATAAAAATATCAAACATTATATTATTTATTAGTTTTCTGGAGAGGTGAAATACTCTTTGACAACTTTTTTTTGAACATTTTCTGTCTGCAGAACTGGAATGCCTGAAGTTGAGTGAAACAAAAATGTTTTCTTTTGTACTAAATTTTTTTCACATTTAATTGATAGGACAATACAGAGTATAGACAGTAAAGTGTTGGGAGAGGAGAGAGGGTAAGGATCGGCATAGGCCTTGAGGCAGGAATCGAACTCGGGTCACCATGAACACCAGAGTGCCATGTGTCAACCTACTAACCACTACACCATTGGCGCCGACGTGTACTCAACTTTTTAAAACATCAGTGGCACTGACCTAAAATGTCTGAAGTTGAGTGAATAAAAAAACTCTTGTGGAAATTGGTACTAAGAAATAATACATTACAAAGCATTTTTCCTTGTTTGTCCTGCCATGTTTTGATCCTTGTCTTGTTTACCATTATTGTTGTTTTACGTCCTGTCCTGTTTCAAATTCTGTGTCTAATGTTTTGTTAACGTTTGTCTCAGTTTTGTTTTTCAATTGAACTGTTTGTTTGTTCTGAAAATGTATTATTTCTTAGTACCAATTTCCACAAGAGTTTTTTTGTGTACTCAACTTCAGACATTTTAGGTCAGTGCAACTGATGTTTTCAAAAGTTGAGTACGTTGGCCCCAGTGGTGTAGGGGTTATTGTGTCAATGCATGGCACTTTGGTGTTCATGGTGACCTGAGTTCAATTCCTCCCTTGAGGTCCTATGCTGATCTTTCCCCTCGCTCCTCTCCCCATGTATGTCTATACTTTCTGTTGTCCTATCAATTAAAAGTGAAAAAAATAATAAGAAGAAGAAGAATAATTTTGAGTACATGAAAAATCAAAAGGAAATGAGGATTGTTTTTTGTTGTTGTTGTTTGCTCAACTTCAGGCATTCCAGTTCATTCATTTTTTTATTTTCGGCTTAGTCCCTTTATTAATCTAGGGTTGCCAAAGCGGAATTAACTGCCAACTTATCCCGCATATGTTTAACGCAGGGGATGCCCTTCCAGCTGCAACCCATCACTGGGAAAGATCCATATACAGTCATTCACACACGCACAACGGACAATTTAGTTTACCCAATTCACCTATAGCACATGTCTTTGGACTTGTTGGGGAAACCGGAGCACCTGGAAGAAACCCACGCCAACACGGGGACAACATGCAAACTCCACACAGAAATGCCAACTGGCCCAGCCGGGGCTTAAACCAGCAACCTTTTTGCTGTGAGGTGATCGTGCTACCCACTGCACCACTGTGACGCCCCGACATTCTAGTTCTGCAGGCAAAAAATTTCAGTTGGCACAACTAAAAAAGTTTTGTTACTGAGTAGTTCACCTCTCCAGAAAAGTAATAAATAATCTTATTTTGACCCAACTAAATGTTTTTGTGTTATTGACAAATAATTTGTGGTCAGTGCAGCTGGTGTTTTTAAAAGTTGAGTGAGCAAGAAAAAGCGAAAGAAAATAAGAATTATGATTTTTTTGTTCTGGCCTAAAATATTTTACAGTGTGACCCTAATTATATAGTACGTACATGCAATTATTTAATATTACTATAATATTAATATTGTTAAATTAATAGTTACATTTAACATGGGAACCATAAAATAAAATGTAACCTTATTTATTATAATATTTATCACATAAAAAGTCGAATATTATTTCTTAGTATATACTTTCAAAAAATATGCCCATGTAACTGTGTATACATATGCTTTATACATACACCAAAAAATTGCAATAACAAAATCAATTAAGCATTAGAGTTATTAGGGTTAGTTCACCACAAAAGGAAAGTTATGTTCTATCACTTACTCAACCCCAAAATAACTAATGAGTCTTGTGTTTTATTAGTAGTCTTGTGTTAAACCACTTTATTATTTATTAAATATTTTATGAATGCTTTAAAGCATCAGCATATTTCCTGAATATACTTTCATTTGGGGGACAGAATCTTTATTATAAGATTACAAGAGTTTATTCTTTTTCATTATCTAAAGATTTACAAATTTGTTATGGATTTGTTAGAAACAATGTTCGACATACACTCTGTCACCACCTTCTACTCTTACCATTTTAACTGTATAAGGTAATTAAAAAGAGCTAATGCAACTCACATTTATTTCACCTTTCAGGTACCTGCGGTCAGTGGTCCAAAACCTCCAGCTGATTCAGCATTTCAAGAAGCAGAACACTGAACACTCGCCTCAAAGAGAGAGACTCAACTTCTGGATGGACATTATCGTGGAGGCCACGCAGGGAACCACCAACGGCCTTCGTTTTCCGGTATCACACATGATTGTCTTATCCAAAAACACACACTTACATAGATCAAGACAACGTTTAATGGATTTGTTGTTTCTTCTAATGTGCAGGTGTTGATTCTGGAGCCCACTAAAGTTTACCAGCCATCTTATGTATCGATTAACAGTGAAGCAGAAGAGAAGAATGTGTCTATATGGCACGTGTCGCCCGCTGAGACGGTCAGTCATTCATTTCACACCACGTTGGCTAAATAGTTTTGTGTATTATTGTTTAATTTTTGTTAACTGATTTGGTGACAGAAGGGAATACACGAGTGGAACTTCACTGCGTCGTCCATTAAAGGCATCAGGTGAGATCTTTGTCTATCAGTTTTTCTTGTATTTTCTTTACTCTGCATTGTCATATACACCCTTTTCCTATGCCACTTGATGCTTTGCACAAATTGTTTGATTAACTACTGTTAAATTGCAAACAATTAGTGAAGGTTTTTAAAAGTGTATTCATTGAGATGTCATTATTCTCCTCACAGAATGAATGTTAAACAGCAACTTAATAGAATTAAGACATTGAGCTAAGATCATTTTAGTAAACAAAAAATTAAACTAAGACTAAAACCATTGGTCCAAAAACATTTTAACTGGAAAAAATTAGGTAAACAAACAAATAAACAAATAAATAAATAAATAAATCACAATAAAATGTGAAAAACTGAAACTAAGAGCAGCCATTTAAAAATCAACTAAAATAAAATAGACTTAGCAGCAATAATAATAATTATTTTCAAAATTATTAAGCACTGGCATTGCAGTGGCGTAGTGCTGTCGCCTCACAGCAAGAAGGTCGCTGGTTCAAGCCTTGGCTGGGTCAGTTGGCATTTCTGTGTGTAGTTAGCATGTTCTTTCTGTGTTCACGTGGGTTTCCTCCATGTGCTCCGGTTTCCCCTACAGTCCAAAGACATGCGGTACAGGTGAATTGGGTAGGCTAAGTTGTCCATGGTGTATAAGTGTGAATGAGTCTTTATGGATGTTTCCCAGAGATGGATTGCAGCTGGAAGGGCATCCGCTGTGTAAAACACGTGCTGGATAAGTTGGCGGTTCATTCCACTGTGGTGACCTGGATTAATAAAGGGACTAAGCTGAAAAGAAAACGAATGAATGATTAATAAGCACTCATTCTGTGGTGGAAAGTCTGGCCTGCAGCTTCTTAGAGTTAAACAAATGTAAACAAGGCTTGTTTAACTGCATATATGATCTTTAATATGAAGAAGTCTAAAATATCTTTTAATTTTATTTGTTTAAGTTCCGTTTGTGTGGTTTTGGGTTGAGTGTTTGTTCAAACAAATATTTCATTTTTATTATCAAAATGTTTGCACAAGTGTTAATGTAAGCTGTGCAAACACTAAACTTTGCTCTGTTTGACACTGGATGCGTTCTGTTAACTCTACATTTACTAAAACTAAAACTTAACATGTAAAATATACATAGAAATGTGTCTAAAAAAAATACCCCAAAAACTAAACCATTAATAAAACAAACTGAATTTTACAGCAAATTTAAGTATAGTATGTAAATAAATACTAATAAACTAAAATAACACAATGCAGTGACGCAGTAAGTAGTGGTGTTGCCTCAGGAGTTTGCATGTGCGGAGGTTTCTTCCGGGTGCTCCGGTTTCCCCTACAGTCCGAAGACATGCGGTACAGGCGAATTGGGTAGGCTAAATTGTCCATAGTGTATGTGTGTGTGAATGAGTGTGTGTGGATGTTTCTCAGTGACGGGTTGCGGCTGGAAGGGCATCCGCTGCATAAAATAAAGCTGGCGGTTCATTCCGCTGTGGCGACCCCGGATTAATAAAGGGACTAAGCCAAAAAGAAAATGAATGAAACTAAAATAAATACTAAAAAGGCTAATTAATTCTAACCTTTCTTTGAGCAGACCAAGAATATCCCCAAATACTCTTTCTACAGCAATATTGTGAATCTATATTGAGATTACTGTACCATAGGGAATACAAAATGCAATAAACTCAAAAGAACTTTAGCCACAGCTGTGTTGTCATACTGTTAATGTTAAAAAATTAATTTGGTCATTTTCCTTCGGCTTAGTCCTTTTATTCATTAAGGGTCACCACAGCGGAATGCACCGCTAACTTATCCAGCATGTGTTTTACACAGCAGATGCCCTTCCAGTTGCAACCCTGTACTGGGAAACATCCAGACACACTCATTCACACACATACACTACGGCCAATGTAGTTTATTCAAGTCACCTATTGCGCATTTCTTTGGGCTGTGGGATAAACCGGAGCACCAGGACGAAACCCATGTGAACACGAGAAGAACATGCAAATTCCACACAGAAATGCCAGCTGACCCAGCCGGGACTCGAACCAGCGAACTTCTCGCTGTAAGGCGACAGTGCTGCTAACCACTGAGCCACCGTGTCACCTCAATGTTAATTTAATGTTATTTTCATGATGGATAAAAAATTAAGCACAAAACCAAACATACCTCTCGCTCAGTTTTCACCATGTACTGTTCTTGGATTATCTATAGCACAAACCTAAAATGATTTGTTTTTTAGATAAAAGGTTATCTAAGACTGAATTCCTGGATCAAATCTAGTAATTTGTCTAGAAAAATAATGTTTGGGTTGTGTAGGGGGATTAATAGAAGGACAGATTGAGTGATTGAAAACATTTAGCATAAGTAAGGGTTAAAGATTAAGAAGGGTTAAGTCTTTTGTTTGTTGTTCTTGAATTTAGGAGCGTTCATTGTGGGTTTGTTTAACCAGAAAGCTGTTCTTAAATAAACAAAAAAAGATGTTACTCAAGAAACTAGTTCTGCTACCTGGCAAAATCATCAGCATAGCGAAAGTCAAAGATTTTATTGACAAAGATGTATAGTGCTGATATCATATTGGTTAATGGACATTTTTACAGTTATTTTAATCATATTGGTTGATATTGGATATTTAAAAGCAAGAAGTTTTTGCATGAAGATTAAAGTCACTCCACTATTGTTAATTTGAATTAAATCTAAAACTAATTTTTTTTTTATCAACAAAATATCCAATTACAGTGAGAAATAATAATAAAATAAGTATCAGATGAACAATTGTAACTTAAAAATATGTTGTAAATTATGTTATTACAGTAACATGAATTAAAAATAGAGCAAATAATTTGCAGTAATACTGTAACATTGCTTAAATTAAACAAATGTACGTTAAAGAGCCCCTGTTATGGGTTTTTGAAAATGACCTTCCATGCAGTGTGTAACACAGCTCTAAGTAAAGTGAAATATCCAGTTAAGGCTTAAATCTAAAAGTGCACCGTGTTTAAAACTATTGATTCATCTATAAAAGAATCGGCTTACAGTGATTCAAATGAATCGTCTTAATAATGAGTCTTTAGCCATGCTGGCGTGACGTCCATACAGAACTCAAGCCCTGCCCATTTGCACACAGACCCGGCCCCGCCAACAAACACTATAGAAAGATAGAGTGGAATACAAACCTTGTAGCAGATCCCGGTTGAATCATGTCGTGAAGACGCTGTGCTCTGAAGTGTGAGGGAAAGTTACTGTTATTTTCCCTACCCAAACATGAGGCTGTCAATAGTCAGTGGTTAAAGTTTATTTTTGCAAAAATACCTCAGCATTATAGCCCTAGCCTTTTGCTGTGTTCCCGACATTTTTATGATGAGTGCAATCTACATGCTTACAATGGGGGATTCATCAATCATTTGTTAAACCAAAATATGTCCCTTTTAAAGCATAATAAGGGCTCTTTAAATAATATCAAAAGTATTTAAAACAAAAAATCCAATCCAATCTAATTTAGAAGATTAATAAATGGATGCCATTTAAAGTAACCATTTAAAAGCAATAATAGCAGTCTAATGTTTAATTTGAAAGTGAAAACTAAAATACACTATAAATGTATATTATTGAAATACAGACTTACAAAAATAAAGATTGTGTTTGCAACTATGTGAAATAATATTAGACAAACCAAATAGAAGTATTAGTAAAACTGAGAATGAACATGGAAATTAAATTAAAAATATAATAAAAAGATCTGTTACAAAAGGTTCAAAAATGTAAACAGTATCACAAATATGTAATACCACAGTAATAACACAGAATTTAAACATCTATTTTATACTGTACATTATTAATGATGTACTGTAACTTTTACAAAGTTTTTTTAATTAGAAAAAAATAACATAAATGTACCAACGTTTTAAAATGAGGGCATTCCTGATTATTACCCAGAGTCCTCTAGGACCTGAAACTCCAATCTTTTCATTTTAATATGGTTTATTAATAGTCTCAGAGATGTGAAACAATTTTTTCATCTTTTCGCTTCCCAGTATCTCAAAGTTTGATGAGCGCTGCTGCTTTCTGTACGTCCATGATAATTCAGATGACTTCCAGATCTACTTCTCCACAGAGGACCAGTGCGGCAGGTTGGCATTCAATGACACCCATCACTTTGTATTATTTCTGTATGTGTATCAAATCTTTGCTCTTCACCAAGGTTATTATTTATATGGCTGTCTCCTGTTTAAAGGTTCTGCTCAATGGTGAAAGAGCTCATCACAGATGGATCTGGAAATGCTGTTGAGCTGGAGGGCGAAGGAGACGGAGACACCTTGGAGGTGAGAGCTTCAAAGACTCAACTATTTGTTTCATAAAAGGATAGTTTACCCAAAATATTGTCATTTTCAAATTCTGAATCATTTACTTATCCTCCATTTGTTTCCAAACCTATTTGAGTGTCTTGCATCTGTTGAACACGAAAGAAGATATACTGAAGAATGTTGGAAAAAACAAATTATTGCCTTTTTTGATTTTGGTCCTACTATGGTTGTCAATGGCTTCTTTTTTCATCAATCTTCAGTGCATCTTGTTTTGTGTACATGAGTGCAACTAAGTGGACGTTTTTATTTTTGTGTGAACAGTCCCTTTAAGTCACAGTTTCTTATTTTACCATTGAAAACTATGATCATAGTTTGTATTGATTCACAAATCTTGACTTTTCATAGCTACTGTATTAAAAAAAATCAGTACTGAATTATTTATATATATATATATATACAGTTGAAGTCAGAATTATTAGCCCCCCTGTTTATTTTTTCCCCAATTTTTGTTTAACGGAGAGAAGATTTTTTTCAACACATTTCCAAACATAAGAGTTTTGATAACTCATTTCTAATGACTGATTTATTTTATCTTTGCCATGATGACAGTAAATAATATTTTACTAGATGTTTTCCAAGACACTTCTATACAGCTTAAAGTGACATTTAAAGGCTTAACTAGGTTATTAAAGGTTAACTAGGCAGGTTATGGTAATTAAGCAAGTTTTATGTATCAAGATAGTTTGTTCTGTAGACTATCAAAAAAAAATATAACTTAAAGGGGCTTAAAATTTTGACCTTAAAATGGCTTTTAAAAATTTAAAACTGTTTTTTTCTATTTAAACTATTACAGTGCTTCCAGGGTTACTGCTGTAAACAAAGCAGCTTAGCTAGTGTTTAGGATGCATAATATAGAGATAATCTACAAAAAAAAGTTACATCTAAACTTATCTGAAATTAGTGGGCTCCCCTTATAGATAATTAGACAGTAAATATACCCCCCCACCCCACCCCCCAAATCCAGTAGAATTTTCATTCAAGTTTCAACCAAACGCCTCACATTATAGGAAGTCAATAGATGAGCAACTATATAGAAATAATGTATTACCAGTAGATGTTTAATGTAGCTTTTAACAACACTAAAGTCTTAACAGTACAATCTTTTTTAATGTTCTATTTATGCAGTATGAAGCGAACAAAGTAGAATATCTGCAGATATAAATATATTATAGATAGTTATTTTGTAAAATATAAAAGCAGTATGCAGTATAATGTATTAATACTTTTCTTCTAAATGTTTCCTGACAAAATATTTTTAATTATTATAAATATTTTTTTATTAAAAAATCCTAAAAGGTGATCAATTAAAGTAAAAATTATTACAAAAGCAAAAACTTTTTGAGCAAATGCTTGCTGTTCTATTTTCTAGCCAGTCGACCAGTGCATCTATAGTAATGTTTAAATTCATGGAGAATCTCATATTGTTACATTGGTGTACTTGCATCCTGATTGGTCTTACAGTATGAGTATGACTACAATGAGAACGGTGACCGGGTGGTTCTGGGCAGGGGGACCTATGGAGTTGTCTACGCAGGGAGAGACCTGAGCAATCAGGTGCGCATTGCCATCAAGGAGATCCCTGAGAGAGACAGCAGGTGAGAGACTTGAGTCAAACCCATCTAAAAAAATAACAACAACAGCTAAACAAAAACAGCATAGAAGATCACCAGCATGCCAGCATGTTGTGTTTTGGATTCTGGTATTTTTATCAGGTGGTGATAGTTCATCCAAAATTCAAATTGGGGAATCATGCACTCACCCACATGTTTTTAAAACCTGTATGAGTTTCTTTCAACTATGGAACATGAAACATAGTTTTGAAATTTTTTCTTTTGCGTAACAAGCTGCAGTGTTGCTTGTTTTCAATTGTTTTTTTAAAATTACATGTACAACAGTTGTCTGTCATATGATTTTAGAAATGTTTTAACAGTCCTTTTATTAAGTTAAAATATGCTAAAACAAAAGATAAATATATTAGATAAAAATTATATATATATATATATATATATATATATATATATATATATATATATATATAACACATACATATATACATATATATTTTTTAATGGCTTAATTTATAATGAAAACAACTATAACAGCACATTTAAAACTTTTAAAACATGTTTCACTCATTAATAATTGTTAATAAGAAGTTGCTGATCAAATACAAATGAATAAACAATGTTTTTAGATGGTGTTTTCAGCAGGCAATAGTAAATAAAGATATTTTTTTTCAGATGTACTTCTGCAATACTAATCCATGTGATGCATTCAGGTATTCCCAACCACTGCATGAGGAAATCGCCCTTCACAAGTACCTGAAACACAGAAACATAGTTCAGTACCTGGGCTCAGTGTCAGAGGATGGTTATATCAAGATCTTCATGGAGCAGGTCCCTGGAGGTACATGTGCAGATATTAAATGAATAATCTAGTATGTCTTTTCAGCTTTAAATTTGATGCTTTTTTTCCCACAGGAAGTCTGTCAGCGTTGTTGCGTTCAAAGTGGGGTCCTTTGAAAGAAGCCACCATAATCTTTTACACTCGGCAGATCCTGGAAGGCATTCGTTATTTGCATGAAAACCAAATAGTTCATCGGGATATCAAAGTAAGAGCTGGCACAAATGTGTTGGATCTGTCAAAAATTTGGGATCAGTAGGAGTTTACAATATTTTTTTAGCCTTTTCTGCTTAGAACACTTAAAAATGATGTTTGCTGTTTGTTTAAACTATTTAAAAGGAAAACAACACAATTCTTGAGTTTTTGTATAAACAACTTAATTGTTTTATGTTCAGACCATTTAAATTTGTAAAAACTATTCAGTTGAGCTCAATTCTTTCATGTTGTTGCAACACAAATTGATCATGTGGGACCCAACATTTTTATAGTGAAGCTGTAAGCCTGTAAGCAAAAAAACAGCAAAAATTGTAGATATTGGGAAATATTATTATGTTTTTTTATTAAATGTAGTTTCAAGCTGAATTATAATTACTCCAGTGTCACGTGATCCTTCAGAAACTATTATAATATGATGATCTGCTGCTCAAGAAACACTTTCCTCAGTGTTGATATTGTTGGGCTGCTTCATATAATTGTGGAAACTAAAAATGCACTACAAAACAACCACTAAAATGTTATTTATCAAGGACTTATTGAATTCTTCAAGCATAAAAAAGGTTTTATTTAAAAAAAAATTTATTTGAACTTTATTTTATCAAAAAATTCTGAACAGTAAAATGTAGCAGAGAAAATTGTTTTCATCATTGACAATTATTAATGACAGTTATTAAACATCATTATTAATGAGTGACCTCCAATAATAATTGATCATAAAAGAGCAGCCGAATAACACATAATAATGACGTCTGGAGGATCATGAGACAGGAGTAGCTTTGAATCACAGCAATTTATTTCCTTCAAACTGCATTTAATCAAAAAACTCTTGTTTTAAATTGCAATAATAGTTCACAACTGCTACAGTATTTTTGAGTGAATAAATTCACCCTTGTTACATAATAGGCTTCTTTAAAAATAATAATAATAATAATAATGGTCACACTTTACAACAAGGTTTCATTAGTTAATGTTCATAAAAGTTAATGCATTTACTTACATGAACTAAGTATGGCCAATACTTATACAGCATTTATTATTCATAGTTCAACATTAACTAATGCATTATTAACATCCAAATTCAATTTGATTTACATTACTTAAAGCATTGTGAGTTAACATGAACGAACTGTATTCTCAATAACTAACATTAGCTAACATCAACAAATACTAAAGTAAATGTATTGTTCATTGTTTGTTCGTGTTAGTAAATGCATTAACTAACATTAACTAATACACATTGTAAAGTGTATCAGAATAATAGTGAATAAATACTTTTGAGCAGTAGCTTATATTCCAATGTTGACTATCTATTTTTCTACAGGGAGACAATGTTTTAGTCAACACTTACAGTGGCGTGTTGAAAATCTCCGACTTCGGCACGTCAAAGAGACTGGCTGGAGTCAATCCCTGCACTGAGACCTTCACTGGTAACTCTTTCCCTTTTGTTTATTTGTTAGGTACAGAATTTGACCCTCTTGGTTTTTCATTTGACCTGTGCTGTGTGTCCTGAATCATCATACAGTCTGCTGGTCTTGCCTTGTCAGGGTTTTTGGGTTAAGTTAAAGTTTAGTCTCTCATTAGCCCTGCCAAACAGCATCTGAGGGAGTTCCAATGCCCCTCTTTCAGTGTCTGGGACCTACTCTTTTCATTCAGAATGTATTAAAGGGACAGTTTGATCAAAAATGGTAATTAGATATTCATTTACTCAATCTCAAGCTGTATAATGTGTTGAAGACTTTGGTCACACTTTATTTTGTCAGTTAAATGTCTGTTGAAGAAGCAGTATCAACATATATTAAGCAGACAGTCTACTAATATTCAGATGGATCATCAAAATAAAGTGTTACCAATTATTTTTTTCTTCAGTAGAATAAAAAAGTTTTTTTTTTTTTGCAGAATCTGAGGTTCTTGGTGAATTATAAGATGTAAGTTAGCAGTTACTGCACTTTGAGAAAAACAACAACAGCAAAACAAGATATATAACTTTGGCTCCTGATGATTCAATTACAGTAGCTCTTATAAAGCAAAACAGTTCTGTGTAGCAGCAGGAGCCATAGATATTAATTTTGCCTGACTTTTTTGGAATCTCAAAGTTGTTTACTTGCATTTTATGAACAACCAAAAAAAGTAAATAAAAGAAATCTTCTTTATTGTTTACTAAAGAAGATTAAGGGCAAATTAATTAACAGTAAATTATAATTTTTGGGGTAAAATAACCCATTATTAAATAAATAATTTCAGAACTTTTACAGTGTCCACTTTACATGTTAATATAGTAGTTACCTAGTTAACTGGGTAATGTTGTCAAGTGCTGAGTAATTATTGTGCATGCTTTAGCTATGGTACGGCAGCAATGTTTCTTGATAATTAAGAGTATATTTCCTAGACATATTGACCTAGAACAGGGGTGGGCAAACTCGGCCCTGGAGGGCCGGTGTACTGCACTGTTTGGCTCCAACCCTAATCAAACACACCTGCTTATAGATTTCTAGTGATCTTGCAGACACTGATTAGCTTGTTCAGGTGTGTTTGATTAGTGTTACAGCTAAACTGTGTAGGACACCGGCCCTCCAGGAATGAGTTTGCCCACCTCTGACCAAGAACATTACAACTTTTCATTTTCTGTCTGTCTGATGTACCTACAGAAGTGTCAAGCTTTATATTAAAAAATATCAAAGCTCTTTTTTTTTTTTTGGAGACAGTCCTTACTGCAGCTCGCAGCTTGATGTTGTACTAGACCAGGTCAACTACGTAATGAACAATTGCCTACACCTCCCCCTACCCTAAACCCAACCGTCACAGTAGCATGGGTGTTATCTTAGTGGGCGATACAATGTCCACTACGTAGTGGGCCTGGTCCAGTACTTCATCATGGTTACACACTACAGCGAGGACATCTTGTTTTATTCTTGAGTGAGATGCTAATGGTCTAATATGATTTTTATGATCTATGCTAAGCTAAGCTAAAAGTGACCCCCCCCCCCCCCCCAGACCTGGAGATCAGCTGAATTGATAAAAAATGGTAAAACTTTTTACCTCTAACCTGTAAAATGAGCCTATGTCCAAAAAAGTGGAGTCTTCCATTAAGCAGGATAATGTACATCCAGACTGTTGTTAACTCAGTATAAAGCCCTTTAGTCTTTTATACAACAACACAACCGGCTGGATGTGCATTATCCCTTACTTAAAATACCTGTAATGGCAAAAAATAATAATTTTTCACGAAAAGTTATATTAATTCCTTATTAAAAGTTAAATATCTAAAATATCCAAAAATAGTGTTCGGCCAGCTGGCAAACCAAACCGCTGGCATGAACTGGTTCACCTTTCCTGGGCTTAGATAACCCTTATTTCCTGACAGTGTTGTTTTCAGCACTGCGAGTGATTACGACTGCTCATCACTGGTAACCTGAGAATGTCTCCTGTGGGAGAGTAATTAGATTAGCATAGCGTCTGCGACAGGAGTGTGTTTGTGTTTCATTAGTGAGCGCTGAAGCATCAGGGCAGGTGCGCTCATCCTCAGCACTTCTGCTCTCCGTCTTTTATTTAGTTTTTCCTGTCACAAGCGCATTCTTGCCTAATGACGGTTTGCTTGCAAATTTGTGTCCAGGCACCTTGCAGTATATGGCCCCTGAGATCATCGATAAGGGACCCAGAGGTTATGGGGCCCCTGCTGACATCTGGTCTTTGGGCTGCACCATCATTGAGATGGCGACAGGCAAACCTCCTTTTCATGAGCTGGGAGAGCCACAGGCCGCCATGTTTAAGGTATTAATGAAGATTGTTAAGAATGCATGCAACGTATAGCAGCTTGAGTTTTATATAAAGATTGAAAGCGACATTAAAAACCATAAATATATATAAATACTGTAGCAACTTATAAGTCATGTTGAACAGTTATTATAGTGTTGAAGTAGTTTTAAAATAGTTAAATTGTTATAAATTTTACTGAATCATTAAATGTATGTTGTTTTTTTAATTGTGCAGGGGTCCAATTCAGAAAAACCATCGTTAGCCAACCAAGGTCGCAAGTTCCGTTGTTACAAACATAGTTCGTTGATTTGGCATTTCCCAAATCTGTTGTTCCAACTAGGGTTGTAACGGTATGAATTTTTCACGGTATGATAATCGTCTAAAACAATACCACGGTTTGACGGTTTCGCGGTATACGGTATGTTACAAATGTTACAAAATAATAGAACAGTGAAGCAAATTTGACTTTTTCCAAATAATATATTTTTAGTTACTATAAACAACACCACTTACAATGAACAAATAAAAAATAAGAAAATAATAAATAATGTGTCAAAGTCCAAATAAAGTCCAAATAAACATGGTGCAAATCCTCAGTAAAAAATAGATATAAATATTTACTATACTATAAATAGTTACATAACGAAACTAGATTCAATATGGAACATCCTTAGGTTTTATGTGCCAGCATGGATATGGTTGTCTGCAATGCAGACTGACAAACAGCTGCATCTTCATTTGCGTCTTTTGAAAACAGCAAGAGCAGCAGTTGGTCTTTGCTGTGTCACTGTTTTGTCATGTTTCTGTGCTGCTGTGCATGCAAAAGTGCTTAGTATGAGAATTATTTCATGCAAAACTTTTTTTTTTTTGCGTTTTATTTAGCCGCGCATAAATGTATGCCTTTCTCTCATTCCATGTTGTTCAAAAAGCTTGGTCCACAAACAAAAGCGAAACCTATGCTTATTGGTTGTGATATAGCGAGTTTGAACCAATCTGGGCATGGAGGAGGGACAATGCATCAATGTATCATGTCTGATTTGTCCGGAGACACAGTGACGAGCGTTTCTTTGTCAAATCAGCGTTGTCAAATGTTGATGACGTAACCGCACTAATTCCATGTTATGTGATACAGCACTGGAAAGCTGAGATTCTCTTCTTTATGCCAATCTTTGAATTGTATGAATCGGATCAGCGGATCAAAAGTTATTAAACATTTAAGAGCAATACTTATTTTTAGCCGCGGGCGGCTGTCTCGGTCTTTAAGGGTTAAAACCATTGATATGCAATTGTTCATGGTATGATAATCGTGCACGTTCAAATCGTGGTAAACCGTCATACCGGTATATTGTTACAACCCTAGTTCCAACAAACATTTGCAAACTGCATCGCAAACTTGTACACTTGCAGCTACACCTCTAGAGCTATAGTTAGAAGCAGAGTTCTTGGCTGTGTTCTATTCCCAGTTATCTCGCCTATGACCCATTCCTTTAAAACTTTCTAACATTTAAACTTGAAATTATAAAAAAAAAATACATTAAAGTAATCTCTCTTGCATGTTATTCACTTTCAAAGTAGTTTTACAGTTCAATTTTTAGTGATCTTCATATTGACAATTGTGTACCCTTCGTAGTGCACTTTGAAAACATTTATGCCATTTTGAAGGACAGCATAACGAAAGCTATAGGTGACCAATTATTTAAAAGTGTTATTTAGGCTACGTCTCCAAAGCAAAAAATATATAGCATACGTTAATGATTTTAATTTATAGTAGGTTATTTATTAATAAATGTACAGTATCTGTAGCCTACTGTACTGTATATGACATGGGCCTATTGGTTAGAACATTTCTGCAGTGGTTTGAATGAGTCGAATTGTAAAAAATAAAATATTAAATAAAAAATAAATAATAATAATTATTATTAAGTATTATTTTTTTCATTTGTTAATAAACAGCCTGCTGTAAATTAGGCCTACAACCATTAAGGATTCATATATGAGATTGGAATACATGTTAGCTTAGTGATTTTAAATGGATTCTTCAATCCTAAATGGAATAACATTTTTAAAGAAAACATACTGTAGGTACTAAATATGTCGAGTATATACATTTCAATTATTTTATTTTCAATGAGTGCATCCAAAACTTTTTGTGGTTTGTTTATGCATGTGTGTAAAACAATGTAATTTGCACAAAAATTATGGGTTTCTTTTTAAAAGAAGTAGTTTAGAGTGTCATTATGGATGTTTTATGTCATAACTAATGTGGTTCAAACGATGAATCTGCGACAGAGAAACTACAATTTTGGGAAACTCATCACTACATCGTTCTTTTCCCAAATGATGCATCGTACTATGATAGTTCAGCCTCGAGTTTCATTGTTGTTTGAGAAATGCACCCCAGTTAATTTTTCTGCAAATATACAGCTGAAGTCAGAATTATTAGCCCCCCCTTTGATTTTTTTAAAAAATATTTCTCAAATTATGTTTAACAGGACATTTTCACAGTATGTCTGATAATGTTTTTTTCTTCTGGAGAAAGTCTTATTTGTTTTATTTTGACTTAAATAAAATTTTATTTTTGAAATTTAATTTTTTTAAAAACATTTTAAGAACTAAATCATTAGCCCCTATAGCTATTTTATTTCAATAGTCTACTGAACAAGCCGTTGTTTTACAATAACAATTACCCTACCCTAGCCTGCCCAGTTAACCTAATTAACCTAGTCAAGCCTGTTAATGTTACTTTAAGCTGTACAGAAGTGTCTAAAAAATATCTAGTAAAATATTATTTACTGTCATCATGGCACAGATAAAAAAATCAGTTATTAGAAATGGGTTATTAAAACTATTATGTTTAGAAATGTGGTAAAAAAAAATATGCTCTCCATTAAACAAAAATTGGGGAAAAAATAAACGGGAGCTGATAATTGTATATGTGTAATCCTATAAATTTTAAATAATTCAAATACAAAATGTTTGCAATATAATTAACATTAATTAAATATCAAAATATAATGGTATAATTAAGTGTCTGTAATTTATTGTTTTTTTATGCTTTAAATATAATTTAATATACTTAAGAAAAATTCCATTTAGTGTAAATACTAAGATATTTACCATTTATTTTATAAAGGATAATTCTATAAATATTTATTAATTCAAAAAAACTAAATAAAAAAAAAAAAAATTTAAATAAAAAAATATGGATCATCTCAGTCCGATTTTATTAAATTAGAGAAACACATTACTTTTTGCATGTTGTTTTGTGTTGTTTTGCAGTTCATTCCACTGTGGCGACTCCAGATTAATAAAGGGACTAAGCCGAAAAGAAAATGAATTAATGAATATTATATATATATTCTTTTTTTTTTTATTTAAAGAAAAAAAATCATGTCAAATAAAATATTGTTGTAAAATATAGTACACTGTTCTTTAATCTTAATAGACTTATTCATCTTATAGGGCATCTTAATAGGATATTAATCAAATTTCTAATTAAACCTCATCTCCTCCATTCCTCTTCTCTTTTGCATCAGGTGGGCATGTTTAAGATCCATCCGGAGATCCCGGAGTCTCTTTCGTCGGAGGCAAAATCCTTCATCCTGTCCAGCTTTGAGCCTGATCCCAATAAACGAGCAATGGCCGGCGACCTGCTCAAAGACCCCTTCCTGCGGCAGAACATCAAAGGCAAGAAGAACAAGATCGCTTTCAAACCCTCAGGTAACGTTTCTGACCAAAACAAACACACTTTTCATCTGCAGTGAGTGTGTTTACATGCACATTCTTAACCTGATTATCCTTAATAAGCCAACAATGTACTGGATTATTTATTGGGCTATGTAGTGGTTGTGCAAACCTGTTTACACATTTTCTTTTATCAGTATGATCATAAATGCTTTACAATGATAGTTTATAGTTCATGAAATAGTCCATCCAAATATGAAAAAGTTCTGTCATTAGAGTAAAAGTATTTCATTTGATTGTTTGCTTTGTTTTTCAGGCCTGTGACTGGCCTATGAGATATCACATGTATTTTTAAACCATTTGTGTATAAGAATTTATAACATCTGTAGTATTATCAAAAAATAATAGTAGTTATTTTTAATAAAATGAAGACTATATGCAGTGTTATTTATTCACATTTGATTCATTTCCCCACCCAAATACAGTTAGACTCTCCAAAAAACACTATCTGTTTAATTCATGCAGATTATTTGTTCTACAAAATCAATATAAGACTATGAATTCTTTCCAAATTAATCTATTTAAGTCATCATTTTTCCAATATCATGCAGCCCTCATATAAACTATAATTGTGTACAGGTTACTATAGACTGCCTGAGAACATGCAACACTCACTTTGTCTGTCAAGCAAGAGAGCAAAGTCTATTTATTTCACTGCAGTGAAAATGTTCTTTTTGAAAGTCTAAAAGACGTAACAGAAAGTTATGTTTTTGTCATCAGAAGGTTGCTAGGCAACAGAGGCACACATATTCAAAGGCACATGAATGGGTAGACGAGGCTGAAATGCATGCAGTGATTTTATGGCCATTTAAGGTACAAATACTCAGAACTGATTTGTGTTTTGTAATTTTAATAAAATGACAATGTTAGAATGAAAATCACACACACACACACACACACATTTACAAAAGTCAGGCTACTATAGTCTTATACAGAGATAGACATGCAAATTGTTACATTTTGTTTGTCATTGCTGGAAAATAATCTCTTACAGAGATCTGTTATGGCAATATATGCAAATGACACATATGACATACAAGTTCATATTTGGATTTCACATGTATCAAATATAAGTCAAATGTTAAACTACACTAGTGACTATTTTTGCAGTATTTCAAATATGTTGCATATATGTAATGTGTTCATATAAGGCCATATATGAATGAGCAATATTACTCTCGTAGCAGCACGATAGGGCTGTATATCAGCACTGGTGGGAGGCGTACTTTGGCACGAGGCCACAAGTCAAGTGCCTTAGTGTCTCACCAGTGACGATATACAGCTATATCACAGTGCTACAAGTGTGATATTGCATATTATACAACAATTTGAAAGCATAATCATGTGTATAAAAAAGAAAATCAAAGACGAGAGTCTAAAAACCATTGTGTACGAGAAACTACTTTACATTTATTCGCATCTGCAGCTGACATCAGAACAGCAGAAACCATTGCCAGTTCACAAACGTCACTTTAGAGCTAGTATTTGAATGATTCTCTAGCGTAATATCTAAAGTGATGACAAAACAGGTGATATTTTGCTGACATTTTAAGATTATTAGGTTGAATGTAGGCTGAACAGGGAGTATTTCCCTGTTGCAATCGGGACATTACAATAATTAACCCCGAAAAAGCTAAAGCAGCACAAACACTACTGTTGTGTTTGAGATAAGGAAAAATGCTAAACACATGTGGGCATTTCTTCTTTCTTTCTTTTTACTGAATTAGTCTGCAAAAGCGAAAACAGAAATTTAATTAAAAACAAACAGAGGGCAAACAAAAAAGTAACTTAGGCTTATACAAAGAGTGGCCAACACAAAATACATACATTCCTGATATGTGAGTCTCATCTCACACTCCATACACTACAAATTACTCCATTACTATGCTATAAATACAGCACTACAACATACAGAAGAGAAAGATCGACTTAGAAAGTCAATTACCTAATTCAGAATGATTTGATCAGCTGTAGTTTGTAGTTTTATGCTGAGTTTTTCTCCTGTGAGGGCTTATTATGCGGTCTCTGTCACCATCTTATGGATGGACATTGTTAACCGTCTTTGCTCTGCTCAGTATGACTAGCTAATACAGCCGACACGCTGTATCTGCAAAATTATCAACATCCTAAAATAGGCACTATCCTTATAAATAAACTTCATAGATGCAATCTGAACAGCTACATTCTCACCTATAAAAGCCTCAAAAGTGCATTATGTTGTCCAACAGCTGCAATATTTGTCAAACTGTAGTCCTCTGCTCGCCACTCGTGGAACCACTCAGGAATACACAAGAGTGAAGAGGCTGTCTGATATTGCAATATATCACACAGCTATTAGCAAATTAGATTCGAAAGCCAGACAGAACTATTGTGTATATATAAATATATATATATATATATATATATATATATATATATATATGTAATGGATAAATATACCTAATATATTTGAACATATACAGTATGTACATATTTATAATTGAGTAACAATTAAAAAAAAAAAGCGACCCCATTTGCAATATTTCAAAAAGCATGTTGCTTATATGACATTTATATATGTAGAATCCAAATATGAACTTATATGTGATATATGTAGTGGCTTGCATGTGAACCTGCTCAATAATGCGCTTATCTCCTGGTCATATCTATGGTGTGCAAGGCATTTTGGGTGTCGTGAGAGAGACCGTTTCGCAGGCAAACACACAGAGCTGTCGAATTCCCCCCACAGTGCAGCATTCCTGCATCTCTCCTCTGTCTGGGAGACTGAAACAGGCCTGAACTGCCCTCAGCTGGACGGACGCTCACTGGCCAGATTGAGCTTACACTAGAGAAGTGTGTGCACATGCTGTCCATGAAGCACATTCTCAGGGTGTGGTGTTTCACACACAAACATACGCTGGGCTTTCTCAGAAAACATTCCGGGTTTCACTTTGACACTTGCCAGAAGATAATAACAGTAGTGAGTGACGAATACTTGAAAGCTGTCAACTGCTAAGCAAATATATTGTCTTGTTTCAATAAGTAGTGAGCAGATTAATGTGAGCGTGTTGACAAGCCGATGGGATGATACTCTAATTATAAAACTGTGTACAGTAGTACACTTTTATTTATTTAAAAGAAGAAGTTAGCTCTCCTGGGACAGTAGTACACTTTTATTTATTTAAAGAAGAAGTTAGCTCTCCTGGGACATTTGAATTACTATTCAAATATTTCCTGACTGATGATAAATGGAGCAAGACATTTTGAGTGTTTCCTATTATATTTGTCTTCTGAAAAAAAGTCTTTATTTCTTTAGGGTATCTTAAATCATTTTGAGGTCAATATTATTAGTCCCACTTTAGACTTTTTTTTTATTGGCTACAGAACAAACTACTTCCTCCACAGCCATATCACCCTGCAGCCCAAGACCCTTAACTAAGCAGGGCTGAGCCTGGTCAGTACCTGGATGGGAGACCACATTGTTGTTGGAAGTGGTGTTAGTGAGGCGAGCTGGGGGTGCTCAATATGTTGTCTGTGTGAGTCATAATGCCCCAGTATAGTAAAGGGGACACCTTACTGTCAGTGAGCGTAAAGAATAGGGGTGTAATTAAGGCTGACCGATCTGACCTAAAATCTAAATTACGATTAATTGATTAACATTTTAACTCGATTACGATTAATGAATAATTTTTTTAGTTATTTATTAGATTTTTTTTGCCCTCATAGTTCACTGATATTTACTTGTGAGAGATCTTTAAATGAAAGCTGCATTATTTGATTTTAAAAGAATTGAAGGAAACGCACACTATCTATAATTCTTTATTATTTATTGAACATCAACGTTGAACTACAGAAATTAAAACACACATTGCCTAAAACCAACAGTCACCTTTTTTCTTATAAAAAGTGAAAATAACAAAACTTGCACTTTTGGAAACAAAATTAAATGTTGACCTGGAAAAAATTAGTTAGATTATAGGTTCTGAATGTCGATTTTGATAACTTTCCGATTATTGTCCAGCCCTAGTTGTAACCCCGGTGTCCAGGCCAAATTCCGTCTATCGGCCCTTACCGATCACAGCCTCCCAATCATCCCCATCCACTGAATTGGCTCTATCACTGTCTCTTCATTCGACCAATAGTTGTGTGGTGAGCGCGCTGGCGCCGTTATCCTGTGGCTGTCGTCGCATCATCCAAGTGGATGCTGCACACTGGTGGCGGTGTGGAGAGCCCCCCCTCATGATTATGAAGCGCTTTGGGTGTATGGCCATATATGATAAATGTGCTATACTGTATATATACACATTATTTTTATATTATATTATTTTAGATTATTATTTATTTATTTATATTATATTATATTATATTAATTAATATTTTATTATATTATATTATATTATATTATATTATATTATATTATATTATATTATATTATATTATATTATATTATATTATATTATATTATATTATATTATATTATATACTGTTGTTATTATATTTTATCATTGTTGTTCAATGACTTGCCTAATTAACGTAACAGGCCTAGTAAAACCTTTAAATTGCATTGCAAAATAACCTGAAATCTAGCATCTTGTGGCAAAGACTAAATAAATGAGTAATTAGAAATGTGTAGGCCCACCTTTTCCTGCAGATTTTCGCTGATTTTTGTCCTATTATTGAGTCTATTTATTTACTTATGTAAATGTGTGTACATTTATAATAATTCAATTTTTTTAATTAATTTCAGTAATATTATTGACTAATATGAAAGTGTTTATTTGGTTTATTTACAATGCTTTTTGTAAAGTCATATATTCTGTCATTTAGTAGAAATATTACACAATAGACTTCGTTTACCAGATAAATGGATCTAATCAAATTTACATTGTAAACATTAAATAATAGGTAAAACAGCATTATTTTTTATTTCATATGTTAAGTTTTTAGTAAAATAATTCTGCATAAATCCAGAGATTTTGTAGAATTTTTTTTGTTTGCAGTAATAGCAAATAAAATGTCTGCAGATTCTGTCTGGTCCCAATAATGAGTTATTAATTATGTTTTAAAATGTGTTGAAAAATCTTCTTTACATAAACAGCCCTTTGGAAATATTTGAAAAACAATTAACATTTTGCCTGTGTTATATTTTAATAAATATGTATTATGAAATGTAATAATTTTTTAACACAAAGCTGAATTAATAAATTATTGCTTTATTCAGAAATCATTTTAATATACTTAATTAATATGCATTTTAATATTGCAAGAAATATTTTTTATTGTTATTTGAATGGGAAAAAAGTTGTGCTGCTTAATCTTTTTGTGAAAACCTCTGTACTTTTTACATGGCTTTTTGTACAATAGAAAGCATTTATTTTAAATAGAAATATTTTGTAATTACTTATTAATTTCCTTTTTTAAGTCTTACAAGCCCCACAACTTTTAAACAGTAATTTATCATTAACATTTATATTGAATTAAGTTTCACTTTACTCCAATGCTTTGTTTAAAATGTAATTCACTTGAAAGATGCAGATAAATGAAATGTTTCTTTTATGAGCAGGTATATTTTTATACAGACTTTACATCTGAAACATGCATGCAATGATATTAACAACTTAATATTTCCTTTTCTCTACACGCCTGCGATCGGCTGTTTTGGCTTGGATTCTATATAACAGTGTGGCAAGGTTTGTGTTTCCCGTCTGTGTGTCCTGAGGACTCTTATCTTGTGATCAGTGATGTTTTGACAGTTTCTGGTGGTTGTTTGTGTTTGTGGGTTTGTGTCCTACTGTGAGTATTTTCCTCATTCTCTTGATTTTTCGTTTGTTTTCTGTTTTTCTGTGGTTTATTATTATTTCGCTTCGAGCTTTTTTTGTGGCATTTTGGCTAATGCTTTACAATTAAGTTCCATTAATTTATTATTGTAATTTATTATTAATTTATTATTTTAACTAATGCTTTAACTGCGGTGAGTACTTTTCGTAATTTTTACTATGATTATGTTTTGTAGTTAAATTAATAACAATTCAGTCTTTACCCTACTGCGATAGACACCCAAGTTAAATTAAATTAAATTAAATTAAATTAAATTAAATTAAATTAAATTAAATTAAATTAAATTAAATTAAATTAAATTAAATTAAATTAAATTAAATTAAAATAAATTTATTTTAATTTAGTTAAAATAAATTTAATTTAATTTAATTTAATTTAATTTTTATGTTTTATTTTATTCCTAATATATTTTTCATTGTTTAATCAGTGTACATTATACTTTTAATGTCAGAAATTTGGGAGCTCTTAATTACTTTAATTCAATATTTTTAATAATCCAAGTTAGTCTCGTCAATATTCAGTATATGTCAGACATTAAGAAAATTTGTCATTAAAGTGAGTAAAATGGTTTGAGTTCATACCCATATCATCCCTGGAGCATATTATTGGCCTATGTGATATATGAATATTTTTTTATTACTAATAAAAATTTATTACATGTTCAGTGGATAGCACCTGAGTAAAACTAATTTAATAAAAATACAACCCTTTACTTGAGATCTTACTTAGAGTCAAGCCCAAATAATAATAATCAATACAGTCAAGCCTGAAATTATTCATACCCCTGGCAAATTCTGAATTAAAATTACTTTTATTCTACTTTTTTTGGAAAATAAGATGATTTACAAGGAACCATTCTGGGGGGAAAAAGAATGTCTCAAAAAGCTTTTATTTACATTTGAACAAAAACTATAAGTCAGAATTTGCCTGGGGGATGAATAATTTCAGGCTTGACTGTATAGATTTATTAATTATGATCCCCTTATTATTTTTCCTTCAGTATTATTTTAGATTATTAAAGATTAGAACATAAGTGAGAACTGCTAGTAAGCTGTTCTGTCTGAATGTGTGTATTTGATTTAATGCAGTGTGTCTCTGTGTTTTAGACTACATCCGCAGTGTTTCTCTACCCGTCCAGCTGCAGACAGAAGCCACAGGCAGCAGCAGCAGCGAGCCGGGCTCCGTCTCTCCAGACTGCGACTCCAAACAAGATGTGTTTTTCGAGAAGAAGAAGCGTTCAAGCTCCGAAAACCTCATTAAACCACCCAGCTCAACCTTTCTCAGGTCAGATCGCAAGTAGTACTGCACTGATTTTAATTATTCAACAGAAATACATGTTTCCGCCTTCAATGGTGAAACCAGAAAATCATACTTGAACACAAGTTTGACTGCAGTTTCTTTGTAAAATAAACACTATGGGGCAGCATGAAGCTTTCATCCTTTTCACACTAATTCTATTTACATTGACATATAATCACCAAATCAAGGATTGCTTTCATGTAATTCTTTGATCAACACCAAAATAAATACCACAAAACAACTTAAAGGTATCTGATTTCTAATCGAAAATGTTTATATTTATCTATCTATATTTATCTCGCCTATTTATCTTCATTAGGGCTTTTATCAGTAATGTACAACAAAACACATCCTAAGTAATGCAATTCAGATTTGTAGAAATGTAGACAGCGCCCACTAGTGGTTTAGTCATCTGAAACCTGCAACAAAATGTACCTGGAGCAATGTATGGTACTACTTATTACTAATACTACATGAAGTTTATTCATAAACTAATTTCGAGAGGACCACGTGCTTATGATTTATCATGGCCGTCTCGTATTAGCTAATCACTGTCCTCCAATAATATGAGCCGTAAGCTACTATAAAAAACCATAGTTTTCAGTCCATTTTATCTTCGTTTGGAAGAAACCCCCCTTCCTACCCTATTCTCCTCCTTTACCACTGATCGGGCAGCATGGCGGCCCAGTGGTTAGCACTGTGAGCCCCACAGCAAGAACACTGCTGGCCCTGGTCCTGCCAGGCCGGTAGGTGTTTCTGTGAGAAGTTTGTATATTCTCCCCATGTCCGCGTGGATTTTACCTGGGTTCTCCGGTTCCCTCCCACCATCCAAATATATACAACATACATAACAATCAAGCACTTGTCTAGCCCCTTTTCTCATGTGTTCCCTTTGCTACCGCAGCCGGGGAGTTCTGAGATCCACCGAGCTCAGGCTCCCCTCTCGCTCTGCCAACGGGAGGAAGCAATTCAATCATTGCTCAAAGTTAAAACAGTGATCATAACATTATTGATCAATTTGTGGCTCTTTTTTCGACTCTTGGAAGCTCTAGAAATTAAAAGTGTAAAACAGGAAAAACATTGGGACCATTGTTATTGTTTACATCCCTCAAAATGGTCTATAATAAAAATGTAAGCTTAGCCTGGGCTGTGATTATTCATGGCTGATGTGCGAAACCAAAAAACAATTTGTGCGGTGGTGTTCACATGAGTTGCTTTTATACACATTCTCATTTTACACACACAGACTAATTGATGGCACACCCTGACATTCCCTCCAGAATTTTAGGTATGAACTTATTGTTTAACTTCCTTATGGCAACATATACAGCTTTGGGCGTTCATTTAAGGTAATTAATAGTCATGCTATACTTGCAAACAGATAATGGCAAAAACATACACATATCTTTTTTAAAGCATTTTTTTATTCCCACTTTTATTAAGTGGTTTTATCTAGCATGCACTTACTCTGAAATTAATTATTCATAACAATGAACTTCTTGTGTAAATACATGTTTTCACATTGTACTTATGACTTATTAAAAACCTGCATGAATTTACATCTGTAATTAATTTCTGTAATTACACTGTTTACCTTTCCTTACACCTTATCCCACCCTTAAACCTATCCATACCGCCAAACCTGTCCCTAACCCTACCTCTTTCCCACCACAAAAACACCAGAAGTGTTCTGCTATACGTTATGCATCCAGTAAGTATATTGTTATTATATTTTGATAAAGTACATATCAGTCAAGGACATTTTAGGGTGCCTATTTTACCCTTTTTACAAAAGGTAGGATAAGCCTTTGGTGTCTTCACAATGTGTCTGTAAAATTTCAGCTCAAAGACCCATCAGATTTTTTATTATAGCCTCCAGAATCTGCCCATTTTGGTGTTTGACTACAGTGTAGCTGTTTTTGTAGCCTGTGGCTTTAAATTCTGATGAATTGCCTCTCCCCGTCCACCGTTACCACATGCGTGTCTGCTTCTCCTGCATTATACCACATAAACAGCCGTCAGTGACAGAGACAGACTCGGATGAAGCTGAAATATAGCTCATAGCTCAAACATAGCTCATAGCTCATTTCTGAAATGAGTCACGGACAAATGCCGTTTGCATTACACACACACACACACTCACACACACACACACACACACACACACACACACACTAGTGATAGGTCATTCTTGAACAATTCATTCATTTTGAACAAATCTTTTATGTGACTCAAGAACGATGAGTCCCCTTAGGAAGTGATTTGTTAATTTGGGCGTGTGCACATTTGTGCAGGTGGGGTAGAAGATTGGTAAATTTTTCGAGTTCTATATCGTGTTTGAGTCGTTCATTCAACGAGAGAAAGACAGAAGCCAATCATATGCATTTAGAGCCGGAAAAAGATTTCATCCGTTCATCTCTCGAGTTCTCGGTTTGAGTCTTTCATTCATTACGTGAAACACAGGAGCCAATCATATGCAGTCAGAGCCAGAAAAACAATTGATCCATTAATTTCTTGAGTCTTTGGTTTTGAGTCATCTCTTTACATAAACCCAAAGACTCAAAAGGTAAACTAATTGTACAATTGTTAATAGTGTAATCAACGTTTGGGCAAGTTATAGATGTGTTTTAAAGGATATCGTAACATCTTAATGTTATTTTGTGAAATTGAATAAAATGAATGAAATGACTCGAAAAAAGATTTATTCATTTTGATGAACGAGACTCAAAGGTCAGAGTCAGTAAAATAATCCGAACCTCCCGTTACTAATGCACGCACACATATACATTATTTACAGTAGGTGCATTTAAAGACACTATGCGGCTGTGGTGATTATAGTGGTTAGGAAATTAGATTTCAATTTTTCTTTCTTTAATACAAACATGCTCTGTTTTAAAAATGTTTTAACTTATAAAACGTATACAAATCACAGAGAGATGAAAGACATATTTTAATCCCAGTTTATTTGCAAAAAAAAAAAAAATTCTGTGGATATGTGTATACATGTTATTATAGAAACATGACACCAGTCAATCAATTCGGTGGGCGGGGAAAACCGCACTGTTGCGTTACGTTGCTGTGAGCCTCAAAGTTTAATAAAATCCTATTTTAACGTCAGGAATTTATAACAAAGAGACTCATTGGGTTTATAAAACTCCAACATGACTGTGGACGCACTATACCTACACACAGTTCTGTCCAACCAGTTTATAAAAGAGGATTTTCATCATCGGAGCCCTTTAATGTAAAGTGAAAACATTTTTTGCTGTCAGACATTTCAGCGATGCTGTTTGTGTTTATCCTTTCGCAAAATGCAGCAAAAAATCCTATGATATTAGATTAATGTATCTACAAGTCTTTAGGCTAATTAAAATCTCTGTCTACAAGGTAGATTGTTAATCAGAGTGTTGTCAGAGTGTTGTGAATGTGTTAAAGGGACAGTTCCACCAAAAATCCCCTCATCTTCAAACTTTCCAAAACTGTATGCGTTTCTTTTTTTCTGTTGATATTTTGGGAAATGATGGAAACCATCATCAATCCAGTCCGGACAGGTTTAACACAGCGATAACAGTGTGTATATGTATGCGGTTATGCTGATGGTTAGCATCTGGAATGTTAATGATGAGACTGTGTTTATGGAGCTGGATTCGCAGCAGCCACTTCGCCTCTCAGCCTCACAGTAAATCAACCATCCTGGGGATGAATGCGCTGAAGCTTGCCTTGACAGCCCCCTCGACTGCTTGGAAACGGTGTTTAATTAACACGGAGGAATGAGGAGACAGGTGTGCTGGGCAGGTGGATGTACTGTGTGTGTAATGAGATAATGCCTTTTACAGCAGGTACTCTCTGGCCGCTCATAAAATAATCCCATGAACACTTTACTGATGACTTCTTCACCTCGGTTTCGGCACCGTTACATATTAACCACGCTTCCTCTTTGCTCAAATGAAATCATGCTTTAATCACCACTTCAGATTTATTTATACTTTGGCTGCTATAGTTAACATTGAGGTCTTAGATTAATTAAATGAATGGGGAAAAACTCAATAACACGTGCGTGTGTGTGTGTCTCTGGTAAATGCAAACATTTACGAAAAAGTAAATTGTATTTTAAAGCGTTAATATTTACAAATCGCTAACAAAAAATTTGGATCATGAAAAGGAAAAGACATTTGTTATAAAGAATGCATTAAATTAATCAGTAAAGACATGTATTATTTTAAAGCTATTTTAAATAATGATTGCTGAAGCATCATGTGTCATTGAAGACTGCAGTAATGATGATGGAAATTCAGCTTTGTATCACGGGAATAAATTAAATTTCAGAATATGTTTTAGAAAGTGAACCGTTAATGGTAGTAATATGCATACCTATGCATGCCAACACTCCTGTTTTTCCTGAGAGTCTCCTGTATTTTAAACCCAACACCTGCCACCCTTTTAGTTATTTCTCCCAGCAAACTCTGTTTACATCCCCACCCAACCCAGTCTATAGCTTTTTGGTACAGTCTGTAACACCCCCGGGTACATAGTACAGTTACTAACACCACAAATCAACGGTGTTACTCAAGACAAACATTGCGCCCCCCTACACCCCAATATCAACCGTAGGATTATGTGGCAATAATACTACTGTATTAATCAAATAAATGTAGCCTTTGTGACTTAGGAGACTTACTTGAATAACACAAATCTTGTCAATTCCAAGCTTTTGAAAAGTTGTGCACTGGGCAAAGCAAAATAGTACAATTTCAACTGAGGTGTTCTCAATATGAAAATCATTATCAATAATGTGTGTGCTTCAGTGTTCCAGATGAGAGTCCGACAGCAGAAGACCGTAGCTCTCCAGCCTCCTCTGAGAACAGCGACTCTGGTCTCTTCCTGCTCAAGAAAGACAGTGAAAGACGGGCCATTCTCTACAAGGTCCTCAATGAAGACCAGGATAAAGTAACCTCCAACCTCATGGAGAACCACATCCAGGTGTGTATAATTGTGCACTTGTCTAGTTTTGTGTGTTTGTGAATGTGTGTGAATCCTACAGTGATAGATGTGTCTTTGTCTTGTAGGGTCAAGAGGAGCTGAAGTTGTCTGTGGATCACATTAAACAAATCATCTGCATCTTGAGAGACTTCATACGCTGCCCTGAACGTCGTGTTATGGCCACCACCATCTCAAAACTCAAACTGGACCTGGACTTTGATAGCACATCGATCAACCAGATTCAACTCGTTCTGTTCGGCTTTCAGGACTCTGTACGTGGAGTGTAAATAGAAATGTACATGCTACACTTTAAAATCTTGTTGATGCACTCATTTATTTTGTTCAAAATAGGCTCAATTTGCAAGTCCTCTAGAGGTATTTTATTTTATTTTTCTACAATTTTTTAAACTATTCTTCCAATCTTCAGGTCGAGCGGTATCAATTTTAGCTTAGCTTAGCATATATCATTGAATCGCATTAGAGCGTTAGCATCTCTAGAACTTCGATGAAAGTTCCTTGATAATGCCTTAAAATTAGTAACTTTCTATTTTCTGCCAGTCCACGATGTAACTATGAAAGAAAAATTATTGGAACTCTTTGGTCATTTTTGAGCAAGAAGCTAGTGGTCTAATCTGATTCAGTGTTCTATGCTAAGCTAAGCTAAAAGAGTTCCCGCCAGACCTGAAGATTGGCTAAATGATTAACTCTACAAAAGTTGTAAAATAAGCCTTTTTCCAAACAAATAGTGGAGGGTTTCTCTAAAAAACATATGTCAGACACAATTCGCAATCATTTAAAATCTTGGTAAAATAAGTGGCTTTTTAGAAATTAGAATTAGCTATGCTGAAAATTTTAATTATGGGCTGAAACTGAATCTTCTGGGCGCATTTGGTTAGATTCCAAAAATTTCATGAATGTTGGACAGATATTTGGAAGCCATTTTAAACCATTTAAAATATAGGACCATAACCCAACCAAAGTGCAGAACTCCTAAACAATTTACTAAACTGTAATTTCGTTTAATAATTGTCTGTATTTCCCTTTGTTATTTTGAAATATTGAGAAATCCAAAATAGCAGACGGGTGGCTATTAGTAAAACAGGAATAAGTGTTAGATAATTTTGTTCTCACAAAACCAGATGAGAACAAAATACTTTGGCTGCATTTACTTAAAAATAAGTAAATGAGGGTGTTTCACACCTGCCTTATTTAGTTTGATTAAATCACACTAGTTCGTTTTACCTCTTTATGCGGTTCGTTCGGGCAGGTGTGAATGTAGCAATCGCACACCAAAAGTGGACCAAAAAATTGTACAGTCCTCCTTGAAGAGTTGGTCTCGATACACTTTCCAAAGAACCCTGGAGCGGTTCGTTTGTGGGGAGAACACGATCCAAACTAAAACAGACCCAACCGCAAAAAGTACTGTGCCTTTTTGGACTAATTCAGCTGCTGTTGTCTGATGGGCTTGCATTATGGAATGTGGAGAAAAAATATTTGTTAACATCACGTTACCAACACTTTTTAACAGAGAGAGATTGAGAGTGAGTGAGAGCGAGAGAAAGAGATGGAAAAAACATTACTGATGAATTGTTGATAATCGTTTTCAGAAGATGATCATGTCGCAGTTTAGCTAAATTAATTCACGCCTCCTCCTGAAGTGACTTGCAACGCTCCTTTGTTGTTTGCAATGCATTAAAACATTGTTTTTCAGCCACGCTTCATTTTCGCAATGTATAATTTGTGTAAAACTATAGGATGTGTACAAACTATATAGTATTCTATGACCAGGGATACAATCAGCCAGCGCAGTCGTAGCTCCAAAATAAAAGGCAACATTTTGTGTTAGCCGGTTTGTTGACTTGCGGGAGTTCCATTGGCATTTTCCTGCTCGTAAATCTGACCAACCGAAAAGCAGTTTAGGAAATACGTTCAATTACATCTGGCCAATAAGTGATGTGGATTTTGTCACATGTCTTCATTTTGATTCTTTTCAACTGGTTTGGTCCGAACCACAGATGTGAAAGCACCGTAAGTCATTGGAAATACTTTTACTCAGATTTGAATCATATGTAAACTTATGTAACTCCCTCAAAATATAGGATATTGACAAAAGGGTATGATTTTTACATGATTAAGTTCAATTTTGGGAAAAAATAATATGTTGCGATTCAATAATTCACGCAAAAAAGGTTTAAATTTGCTTTTTGCATAATGAAGTTTATTTTTTAGATGTCATGTCATTTATTATTATTATTAATATTAAACAATAGATTTTAATTTAAATACTAAAACAAACTCTGAATTTTAAGTAGAACAAGATAGAAAGACAATATTTATTAACAAGTTTAATAAGTTTAATTATTTTCCATTCAGTTCTTTTTAACAAAATCAAATGTTTTCAACATATCAACATCCAAATAATACTATTACATGCAAAACAGGAGCAAAAAGACCAGATGTAATCAGAACCTCAGTGTCTCCCTCCTGTGTTTGCATGGAGTAAAAAGACATCTCTGTTTGTGTCTCAGGTGAATAAAGTGTTACGGAACCACCACATTAAACCACACTGGATGTTTGCCATGGATAACATCATCAGACGGGCTGTGCAGGCAGCTGTTACCATTTTAATTCCAGGTATATGAAAGAAACTCAAAGATTTCCTCCATGCAGGTGAATAAAAAGGACATTGTGACTCCTTTTGTATCTCTCTGTGTCTACTAGAGCTGCAGACACATTTTGGTCCCGCATCAGAGAGCGAGGGCGCAGATAAAGACGCAGATGAAGTAGATGAAGAGGACGATGCAGACTTTGGATCAGTAGCACGTACAACACAGGAAGATCAAGTTCTCACATCTGGAGTCAGCACACTTAGTTCAGTCATATCCCATGATGCGCAGCGGCTACAGCACCCCCTAGGAGCACAGCTGGGACGACTCAAACAGGAAACTTGCAGGTACATAACACAATATATGTATATGTAGGCCTATTTGACTAGATAGAACAGTTCTATGGGTGGAGACAAAGAGTCTGAATCTTTTAAATAGCTTTGAACATTTTAAGTTTAATCTCAGAGTAAATAACAAAAGAAGATTTTAACATGTTGCTATTGCTAGCAGAATTACTGTAACATGTTGTTCACATGTTTAAACACTTGCTAGCATGGATCTGTGTGGTGCTGGAATGCCTGTACCATGTTTCATCACAGGGCTAGTATGTTTAGCTTGCTGCTAGCAAGTATATTTTATCTAGCAGCAAGTATATGTATTTTTTCTAGCATGAATTAACATATTGCTAACATGTTTCCTGTAGAATGTTGGCATTAATTTGTGTGTGTTTTTACTTTGTTGTTGTTAGCCTGTTTTAATACTGAATGACTAACAAGTTTTTAGCTTATTGTTAGCATAAATAAGCATATTGTTGACATGTTATACATTTTACTTGCTGCGTTAGAAGGATTTACCACTGCTGACAGGTTTCCTGCATGTTTGTCATGTTATTGGCAATAAATTAACAAGCTACTGTCATAAATTTTCATGTTGTTAGTGTGTTTTGTAGAAGTCTAACAAGCATATTAGCATTATGATAGCACGTTTTAACATAATGTGTTTTAGCATTTTGTTAGCATGAATTAGCATATTGTTGACCTGTGTTAACATTTATACGTGCTGCTAGAATGATCTAACACTGCTCACAGGATTCTTGTATGTTTATTGTGTTGTTGACAATGAACTAACATGTTGTTGTCGTCATGAATTTACATTTTGCTAGCATAATTAGTAGAAGATTAACTTGGATATTATTGTAATGCTAGCACATTTTAACATGACTAATGTGTTTTAGCATTATATTGGCATGAATTAGCATATTGTTCACATGTTTTAACATTTTTACTTGCTGCTAGAATGGTTTAACACTGCTGACAGGTTTCTTGCATGTTTCATTGGCAATGAATAACATGCTGCTATCATAAATTTTCATGATGCTAGCACGTTTTGTAGAAGTCTAGCATGCATATTAGCATAATGATAGCACATTTTAACATAACTAATGTGTTTTTGCATTTTGTTAGCATGAATTAGCATATTGTTGACCTGTTTTAACATTTTACGTGCTGTTAGAATGATCTAACACTGCTGACAGGATTGTTGTATGTTTATCGTGTTATTGGCAATAAATTAACATTCTACTATCATGAATTTCCTTGTTGCTAGCATGGTTAGTAGAACTTTCACATTAATATTAGCATTATGCTAGCACATTTTAACATATGTACACATTTTAACTAATGTGTTTTAGCATTTTGTTAGTATTAATTAGCATATTGTTGATGTTTTAACATTTTACTTGCTGCTAGAATAAACACTGCTCACCGAATTATAGTATGTTTATTGTGTATTGTGTTATTGGCAATGAATTAACATGTTGCTATCATGAATTTTCATGTTGCTAGCACGTTTAGAAGAAGTTTTAACAGTTTTATTGCCGATTTTTACTTCTTTACATTTTAGCAAAATTTTACAGCATGCTATCACGATATAACGTGTGGTGCATATTTCTCAACATTCATGATAAACAAGATTTAAAGGAAGAACTAAAATATGGTTTTGGAATGTTTTATGTTGGGAGGGACATGTTCTGTCTTGTCTTGTGTGATTGGTAGACAACTAAATTGCATTCGTACTACTCTTTGAATGCTTTTGAGAGACATCGTTCCCATGTTCTGTCGCCCCCTGTAGGCTTCTGGAGGAGCTGGTGCAGAAGGAGAGAGAATATCAGCAGGTTCTGAGACAAACTCTCCAACAGCGGGTACATGACATCGAGCTTATCAGGATCAGACAGCAGCCTGCTGCAGGTTAGCAAACAAATCATAACACTCACTTACTATGCAACTGTATACCTATTATTAGCTCAGCATACAGGTCTGCCAATGGTTTCAGTCAACAGAGAAAGTGTCAAATGATTTTGTCCTGACATGTCCTCTGGAGTTGTTTACATCCAGTTTAAAGGACAAAGCAAATACATGTTTTTTATTTAAATCTGAGGCACCATTGTGTTTAATCCCTATAGGCAATATTATAAAACAGTGCACATGATTTAATGAAAAAGTAAAACTCTTCAATTATAACCATACATTTTTAGCATGCTTTGGCTTCGTGCATAAGCCCAACAGCACTTGCCACTACCAAAATATTTCAGATGGCAATCAGTTAGGGCAGGGTTTACTTTTAACAGGAGCTGCGAGGTGAAGTCATAATTTTTAGTATGTCACTTTTAATGCTTGAAGATTGAAGGAAATATTTAAGCAACTTACTATAGCATGAAAATGAACTTAATTTTTATCAGGATTATTAATGATGAATAGTGTGGAAAAAAATGTAGAAATGCAGTATATGCTTTTATTTTGTTTTGTATTACATTTTTCAAGGCTATACCTTGTACTCAGAGAACAAAAGAGCTTGAAATGTAAAATGTATGTATAGAGCTAAGATTGATCAAATAGAGAATGATACTGTTTGTGTCTTTCAATTATTACTAATATTACATTCATAATGAATTCATTTATAATAAATTATAATTAGTCATTACTGTTAATTAGTATGTTCATGCCTTATTAAAGTATATTGTTATTCTTTTAATGATATTGCTGTAATGTTTTTTACAGCATCACTGTGTTTACTGTGATTGCGACAAAATTTAAAGTGGGTAAAAGGGCTGGAAGCTCTGCACCGTAGCACATTGTCCCTCAACGTGTCTTTAAAATATGAACATTTATTTTAACACTCTATTTTCCAACATAGACTTTTTCTGAAAATGTAGCCCTATATATATTTCTGGAGATTAGGAATTATGTAGCCAGAAGTACTTATGGCTGCATTTCATCTTTAAAACGAATGCTACAGGGTGGTATGACGCCGTTTTCTTTTTCACACTTACCAGCTGACCAATTACCTTTATATAGACGGCTTTCCCGCTGTTACCAGTTTGTCCAGTTAGCTCGCCATGTACATTTGGTGGATTTGAGACGCAGAGAGGAGTTGACCACAATGACAGGGTTCGAGTCTGTCAAAGAACGGTTCCAGAAAGCATGTAAGACAAAAACAGAAGCCAAAAATAAAACAAAAAAGTAAATAGCAGGGAGAGAATGTGGAGAAAACTGAAAAGTTGTAAAAATCAGGGCTTTTGTTTTTCTGGATTGTTTAAAAACTTGATTGGGTTTAGGGAATTGGGTGGGCGGGTCAATCGGTGCTTTTGAAAACACTATTGGTTGGGTTTAGGGAAGGAGGAGGGTGAGTCAGTTGATTAGACAGTCAGTCAGTCTTTCAATCAGTCAAGTCAGTCTACAACGGCCTTTACGCGAGAACAGCAGTCGCAAATGGTACTCATGAGTGAAATTTAAAATCTTAAAGAGCATACACAGCGGCCTTTGGTGGATTCCCAAAAACAAAATCTGCAAAAAAAACTTAGCTCCTGGGATGTATTTGGTGCTCTCCAGAAATGTATATAGTGGTACATTTTTAGAATGAGCCTGGGTTGCTGTTTTCTATGGATGTACAGTACAATGCACAGCTGCAGCCCTTCACATAACAAATTAAACATATTTTTCAAGTAATTTTACAGTTAAACATTTAAATGGATCCATATAACTTTTCACAGATTATATTCTGAGTATATTAGTCAGGGGTGCTCAGCCCTGTTCCTGGAAATCAACATTCCTGCAGATTTCAGTTGCAACCCATATCAGACACACCTGCCTGTAATTTTCAAGTGCTTTTCAGGGCTCCTCCAGGCAATTAAGCAGCTCTGATATAAGTATTACACTATCAATGCTGTTGATGATAAACTTACACCAACACTTCACCAGATGGTTTTCAGCTGGCTTAAAAAGTATATCGTAACTTTTTGCTTGAGTAGTCTTCTCATTGGATTCTTTCTCAACCCCTGTTTTACCATTCAAAATTCTTTATAAGTCCTTAAACCTTAAGAAACCATAGCAGGCAAGAATTTAAAATATTAGTAGTGAAGTATTTAATAATTGCAGAAACTGTGTAAAGATTCAAATAACAGTAACAATGAAGGCCAGATTTTAATTTAACAAAAATCTTGTTGTCTTACAAGTGTTAACTGCTAATTTTTTGCCATATTTAAATAAATTTAAATTTTTTTACAAGAATGAACCATTTTATGTCCATTTAAGTCCATAAAAGCTACAATTTTTGTTTTTGTGTGATCCAGTCTATCATCTGATGAAAACGAACACATTTGAAGAATGTTACAAACCGGTAACCATTGAACCATTGGCACCCGTAGTAGGAAAACAATTACTATAGAAGTAAATGGTTACCAGTTTCCAGCATTTTCTAAGGATCTTCTTTTGTGTTTAACAGAAAAAAAGAAACCCAGAGAAAAAAAGAAACCTAGGTTTGTGACAAGTGAAGGGTAAACTGTTGATTAATTACCTCAGGTTTACCTCAGGCTTCCTCAAGATATCTGTCAATAGTTTATTGTATCAGCAAACTGGTTTCCACACTAGAGTAACCTCTCATAAACCTTTAGTGACCTCATTGGAAAGCACTGGTCTAGATCACTTAAACCCACATGCTTCTTTTTTGCCCTAAGCAGAGATGCCCACTACACCCTCAGTATTTCACGTTACTGCACAACCCGAGCCTGACAAGAAGCTGACGGATTGGCTGAAGGAGCAGGGAGCAGACAGCGAGACGATAGACAAGGTGAAACATTTAACACCTCTACCCCTTATCTGTGTATTATCTTTCTCACGCTGGAAAAATGACTCATTGTTTTACGTTTCTACTTATAAACGAACAAACCCCTCATGCCAAGTGCTTGTGGTTTTTTGTCTGTGACAGTTTGTTGCAGAAGATTATTCACTCAGCGACGTTCTCTGCGATATTACTAAAGAAGATCTTCGATGCCTGAGGCTTAGGTGAGAGATTCAGCAGGAAGATCTTTAAGCTGGGATTGAATGTGTACACTTGTTTGCTCCATGAACTTGGCTCAAGGTGAAAGGTCACGAAATTGGGTCATGTAATGAAATGATGTGTATAGAATAAAATTATTTATATACAGTTGAAGGCAAAATGATTAGCCCTCCTGTGATGAACTACTGTTTTTATATATACAGTATACATTTTTTCACATTATACAGGGCAAACACACAACAAAAACAGAACACCTTTTTTCCAGAACACCAGATCTAGGAACAATATTTAATCAAATGTCCATAGAGAAAATAAAAGATAAAAGCATGACATGAAAATATGACACAAGTTCCTTTTTTTCTCATATTGTCATGTTGTGTGCGTTCATTTCCATCACAAGAGTTAAAAAAGCTTGCCAGAGCTTATAAAAAGTCTCAACAGAGCATTTAATAGTATGTCCTGTCTTGTCTCCAATTTAAGATGAGATATAACTTCTCTTATCCAGTGATTATGTGTTGGTGGAATAGGCTCTTACCATTTAAACAATATCAATCTTCTAGCCAGAAGAGAACCAAAGACTAACATTTTAATTTGTCTTGTGTTGAGAGGATAGTTCTCAGGGGCCACCCCGAACAACGTGAATGGGTGATGCTCTGCTTCCACCCCGAATGCCCCAGAGAAGGTCACACATATAATATCACAAATATTTTGATGTCTTTGACAATTCATACATGAGCCAAAAACAAAGACAAATTGACTCCACAACCCAGCAGGCGGGAATGCTGGAAAAGACCAGTTCCCCTCTTTTGCTCCATTTACATTTGAATCCCATGTTCAACCACCACCTCTACACACTGTACTCATACAGTATGGTCATTTCAAAATCTGAATGTTCTAAATCAACCCAAGTGACTTTTTCTATCATGTTTGATATCATTTAAAATGCCTCAGTGCGACTGGTACAATGGTCTCATTCACTAAGAAATAGACATAATCAAAACAATAAATATATAACTTCAGGTATCTTTTGACCACTGTTAAGAGTGTGCCTTTCCTACAGGCAGCACTAAATGCAAATGCCTTTTGTTATTCACACACCCTTTTCCTTGAGGGGATTCTTGGATTACTTAAGGGAATGTTTGAACAATGTTCTGCGCGATTCTTCTTAGCCAGATCAGCCCGTAACATGGAGCTTACACTCCATGTTATGTATATTTTGAAGTCAGGTATGCATTTTTTAATCTTGGATTTATCTTTGAGAATATGATGTCTTGTATTGATCATTTATGAATTGACTGAATGAATTGGCATAATACACATTTACCTGTCTAATAAATTGTGTTTTGAATTATTCAAACAGAGTTCATGTTATTATCTCTAGTAGATTACATTTAGTCTAAAGCACCACAAGCCCCTCTACAGGTTAGTAACGGACTAAAACATGGTAGACGGAGCAGCGTGGCACGTGATACAATGTTTTTAAAGATCCGACTGACACATTGGCATTAATTCATGTATACTTAGACTGTAAAAGGTTATCTAAGGGGATAGACCTTCATCTGTTAAACTTATATTACTATTTGGATAGTATAGTGATTACTCAAAATTACTAATAGTTTAAGTATGACTGGTCTGCTTAATTCTATAGTAATGATCATTGTATGACTAAATTGCTCTGTTTGATAAAAATATATCCTAATCTGAGTAAGTAGGGTTCTGCCTTTTTAGGATAGCGGTCAATCGCCACTGTTTAGTGACCAAGACTGACAAGCTTGTGCTTAAGAGATTGTATACTCAGACGGTACAAGACTCAGGACGTTATAGGAATCCGAATGAACGAGAATGACATAAAATAATGAACCGAAGAAAATATTCATTCATAATCTAAAATAATGTTAAAGGAAACTAAATAATAATCTTATCAATGTTTTGTAATTGGAGTCAGATAAAACAAAGATAAATATATTAATATTCTAAACCACCTCACACTAAAATTGGAGTCAGATATGAGTCAAGTTTAAAGTAATTCAACATTGTGCACTGGAAAGACCGAACATGCAGTGAACCTTCATCCACCAGTGGACATCGTCATTGGACTAACTGGCTGGACCCTACAATTTACATTGAGTGTATTAAAGAAATAGGTTGATAAAACCAGTTTTTACATTTAAATAATAAAAAAATTAAGGTCAATATTATTAAAATTATGATTTTATTTTTGGATTGTCTACACAGCAAACCAGTGTTGCCCAATGACTATCCTAATTAACCTCACGTGCCTACTGTAGTTCACCTAATTAACCTACCTTAGTTTAAGCCTGATTTCTAATCAACGTGTACTTTTTTTGGCTTTTATTCTTGCCATATTAAAAACTATATTTGTAGAGCAACCCATGCTCTGTTGTCATTGATGTGTAACTTTAATAGGTATAACTGTCTGAGATATGAACAAAAGCAAGTGATGCATTGATTACAAAAATATTGAACGATTATAAAAATATTTATTTCTCAAAGATGGGTTGCAGCTGTAAGGGCATCTGCTGCTTAAAAACTTGCTGGATAAGTTGGTGGTTCATTCCGCTGTGGCGACCCCGGATTAATAAAGGAACTAAGCCGACAAGAAAATGAAGGAATGAATGAATAAAAATCTTTGTAATCAACAAAAATAAATAATAAAAATAATATAAATAATTAGTAGGGCTGCACGATATATCGTTTCAGCATCGAAATCGCGATGTGCGCATCCGCGATAGTCACATCGCAGGAGGGTGCGATGCAAAAAAAAATAAAAAATTTATATATATATTATGGGTGGAGCCGAACCGAAATACGGTATTCGGAAAAGCAGGAATAGCATGTTTTTAGAAATACTTATTTCAAACAATACTTGATAAATTATTTGTATTTGGGAACAAGAAAAACATTATATCAAAAAGCTGTGTTTCCTCATGAGACCGTAGTGCATGCCCGCGTGAGTGAGTGAGTTAGTGAGTGAGACGTTCAGGAGTCGGTGGGCGGGGTGGGGCCGGGGTAAGGAGACTGAGCAGGCTGCTTCTCTATACAGCAACAGAGAAGGCTTGGCAGAGCGAAAAATACTTTTCTGCATTACTATTTTTGTTTATTTTATCATACTAAAATAACACGTGACAGAAGTTCACTCAAAAGTGAAAGTTCTTTCTGTTATTAATTACTAACACTCCCCTCATTCCTACTACTTTTAGAACATAAATTTTGATATTTTACTATATGAAAATGCAATGCAGTTATGAAAATTGAGAAATTAAAGCAATACAGAGATCTGGTCCCCGCGTCAGGTCAGGGTGCACCTGTAACCTTAAAAACGCAGACGCGGCGGAGGCGCACTAAACTCACACGGGAAAGAACTGGGCATTCAATTAATGTTTTAGTGAAATAATTCTTTAAATACAGCTCTTTTGATCTCTAAAGGGGAAAAAAGCAAAAGAAATTTGTCGTTAAATTAATTTTAGCAAAGACGCAACTGTCATTTTCACATTCGTTTTTCAGTTAGGGATTTGGTCTATTAGAGTAACCTAATAAAATTATTTTGTTGAACACTGTAGTCTACACAATAATCGATATTATAATTTATTATATACATTAGCTATTATTAAAACTAAACTATACAAGTGATAAAACCCTTTTTAATGTTTGCTTTCATTTTGACACCGCTTACAGTTGTAATAAGAAACATCACATTATGCAGAATCATGCAGTCTCAAGTTAAAAACACCTTTTGAGTTTAAAGATGATCAGCCTGCCAAGTCAAGTTTACAGTGTCATAAATGAAATGGGTAGCATGGGTAAAGGGGATTTGCCCAGCACACAACCTCATGCGCTGCAGGTAGGCTGAATGATAATCTTTAAAAATATATAGGCTATGCAATACAAAACTTTAAACATTTATTCATTTTTAATGAAAAGAAAAGAAATCAGGAGAGTAAAATATAATTTAAACCACTGGTCTGGCGCTGATACTTTATTGTTTGTATCCAGAAGAAGGGGAAAAAAGCAGATGAAAACCTGGCTGGGGAGACGGCGATAACATATCAGTTCTTCAGCAAAGATCACGACATCATTGTGATGCGTTTATCATACAACGCAGTTCGTGCTTATAATCATTAATATTAACTAGTATTAATTCTCTCTCTAGACTTATTTTAGGGCTTGTTCTTGTCGGCGCAATATAGCCTCGGCTTATTGCACGTACGAATCCGATTGTGAAGAATGATTAAGCGCTTGCATTTTTTATTGCATCCTTTTCGCAAGTTATTCATTTGTTTTGTTTTTTAAGTGGTGCGAACATTATTTACTGACAAACATGTTCCTCGATCTCGTACATCAACAAATAATGTAGCCTACTTAAGTTAATTTACCTTTTATGTAAAAATTAAGGAATAACCGAATTTAATATTAATAAATAAAACATCCGTATAAACGTACGTGTTTATTTTTGAACTTTCGTTAATAAAACAACACAAAACTAATTATAAATATTGTAGTTAAATTTTAAATTACTTTAACTGCTTGAAACTGTATAATAATAACAATTAAACGTTACATTTTTAAGAACTTAATAAATAGTCTAAATGGCACTTCACTAATCAGTGTAATAATATTATAAATAATAATAATTATAAGTAAAAAGAAAATATTAACCTAGTAACAATATAAGTCAGATGTTTAAAAAAAACAGCGTAGTTTCTCTCCACCTTTTGTAGTCATATTTTAAATTATTTGCCAGAAAAACTAACATGTTGACTTTGTCCGGTTTAAGTGAAGAATGGGGTTATAATGTTTCCAGCAATACACTGTCAGACAGTGTGCTTGTAGCGAAAATGCACAGACAGGTTACTTTTTCACAACCATGCGAGAGAGGGCTTCTCCTTCTGTTCCGCCGCCCGCATTTCCCGCAACGCAGGTTTCTCTACTCTGCGGAGCGGCGCGTTCTTAAATAGTTACCAAATAGCCTATGCTCAATTTCTCA